AAAAAGTAGAAGCATTGAAGAAAGGGCAGTGTTTTCCACAGACCAATGCATATAAAATTCTGACATTATTCAACATACTTTCAGACCAAAACCCGTTACAGCTCCTGGTACTGGCAGAGATCCATTCTCTATCAGCAAGCTACTATCTGCTTTGCACTTCCACAGTGTTAGTGTATCTTTTTAGCTTGGTTCTATCATTTCTAAGCTGCAATTTGCAAAAATTAATCTCTAAACTTGCAAAGCTGATGCACATAAACAGCAGCAGCAGCAGGAGTTTTTCAAAGAGAATTATTTGCATGTTTACAGCCCAAACCGAGTTTTGACTTAATACTAGTTCATGGCATGACGAATGTTTTTGCAGCTTTCTGCTTAAAAAGGGATGTGAGGATGGGGAAGGGGACTATTTGCCTCAGACTCTGCACACCAGATGAGGGTGGGAGGACAGTGAGAGGCTGTGACTCGGGGAGGTGAGGAGGGAGCCGGAGCAGGGGCAAAGCCCTCCCCCCCAGACTCACTCGTGTCTCATTTTCCAACCCTGAGCTTGGGCCAAGCCGTGGATTTACACTTCAGTTCTCACCCTACTGCAGGGTGAGCACATCCACACTGAGGGATTTGAATTTCTAGAGGTAGGGGGTTTTATTTCAACACCTGCTAAAACAAGAACATTTTTAGACTGTGAAACCTGGAGTGCGCCAGATTAAAATAAAAGGGTCATACACCAGTAACACAGCGAGCAGTGAACATACATAACAGATCTCATTCATTATAAAATGCTTTCAGGCTCTAGACTTCAGTGTAAAAATGTTACTAAAAAGAACGGTGGCACTTACTTCTTTTCTTCACCTGGATACGAAACAACTCTGAGCAACAGGTCTGAGAGTTTTGTGCAAAAAATGGGTTAAGTGATGTGTGAAGGACCTCCACAGCTGCAAGCAATAAACCCCTCCCCAAATGTCAAAGAAACCTTTTTACTATACCATGCATGTTTCTTAAGTAAAGTTTCTGTGTGCTGCAATGAAGAGTGTTACCATTTGTATGGAGTAAGCAAAAACCAGATCTCTAAAGGCTAACATAATTTCTACATACAACCTCTGAAAAACAAGAAATTTCATTAGGATCCAGAGTAGAAAAAAAAACAAAAATAAGTGTTTGTTTTGGATTTTGATATTAATTTTGACTCAAGCCACAGCTAATCCTTCATTCCCCAACCAACGCAAGAACCAGTATCACATGTTGCGATGCCTCTTATACAAATGAGCTGGAAACTAGCTGCTTGCAAGTGGTGCATTTGCACATTCAGCCGTGTGGTGTAATTATAATTCAACTGCGTGTACACACAAGCACAGAGAAATGGGGTTGCTCATTACCTCCTTTGTCAAAGCCTATTTTTCCTTGCAAGATAGTTCCTATGGCACCAGAATAAACAATAATTTTGGTTCTTTGCACATCACCAGCATTTTCCTAGACAACTTGTTCTCTCATTGTCAGTAGTCTGGATTGTATAAACACCACCAATAAAGCCTCCCAGTCACTCTTGTTTTAGAGGTATATTTGTGCTCAGCTTTTAGGAGGAGGAGGAGATGACAAGAAGACACCAGCAAGTGCACACGCGCGCGCACACACACACACACTTGCACACAGGGTTGCACACACATTTGTTTCCCTACTTTGCTGATTGAACAGGTTCCTTTGCAACAGTGATGCACAAAACCGGACCATCTCAGTCCTGAATGGAGCTTCTTGCTGTACGTGCTCTTGGTATGCTCTGATGCTGGGTGAGAAGCCCTACATGGATCATATGGATGGAAAAAGAGTCAGTTCAAGCACAATTCAGCACATCACTTGGAAGAAAGACCCATCGAGGTATCACCTCACCTTGCATTTGTGATATCCCACGCTCAGGCACTGTACCAGGGAAGGCCATTACTAACCTACAATTGTAATTACCAATAACATAACTTTGATAATAACAGATGGTAAGTCCATGGTGGATCTGAGCTGAGCTAAGTGTTTCCTACATAACAGGCTCAGGCAATAACTGGTGGCCCCTCCTTCCTTCTCAGCATATTCAGTCACAAAACATAAGTGAAATGATACTCTCAGGAACACCCCTGGAAATTTCAAATACAAGGATATTTAGTACAAGCTCTTCAACCTCTTGATCCTACATGGACCAAGGCTTGCATTCATCCCCTATGTGAGCCAACTGAGGGGATTATTGCTAGAAACTTCTGGCTTTATCCATTTCCAGAATAAGGTTCTGCGTATTTCACTGATTCTTCTATGCAAGACAGGCTTAGTCTCACAGTTGTTTTAGAGAGAACCATTTATATATGTAATAAAAAAGCTATTTCACCACATTGCTGAAAATTCCATCATGTTAAAGTTTATCTTAACAGTATATCATTTACAACGTATTAATAAAGGAGTAGTAAATATTATATTGTTTTTGGCATAAAGAGTACATTACAGGTATTTATAAACACATCAGTAAATGTTACAGACTTTTAAGTAACCCTACTGACCTGTAGCATAAATGCTTGCAGCTACTGATTCACAATATATAAACACTTTATGGATAAACTTTTACAAGCCATTTATAAATATACTCTCAGTAAGAAATATGACATACTCCCAAGTAGACACAGAAATAACTCATAAAACCCAAGATAATTTCAAGAAAGAGTACAAGTCTTTTTATTTGGTTTAGTTCCTGTAAATTAAAGTTATACCTCAGAGCACAGAAGTAAAATTAACACAGAACAGCATTTTTTTAAAAATAATCTTTCATTGTTTTTCAAATGTGGAACTTCACAAAAAAAAGAGAGGACCTGAAACAGTCAAGCTAGATGGCTCTGAAGATGAATTTCCAAGCATAAGCAAGTAGCATTAAATCTGTTCCTTCTCTCTCTATGCCATTTTATTTATGACACAGGTAGTTTGCTTGTAGGTATCTACTAATACGGGGAACACATCTCATCTAACTGCATCCATCTCAAAATTAGTTGCCCAAGTCAGCACTGGTCACCTAGCTAATTCAATCAGTGGAGCAAAACGGGCACATCCAGAGGACAACCCAACTCATCTGCCTTAGACTGCTTTGTCTAAGACACACTCACCCTCTGGAGAGGCCTTTTTCTCACCAGCAAGGCAGTCACCCATGTTCCCTCTCTAGAGTTGGACCAGTATTGTGTAGACAGCCACATCTGAGTAAGTCCCAGTTTTGAAGTCTGCTGTTAAACAACAGCTGCACAGTCAGCTCAGCGTGAGATACGATAAAGGTTTAACTTGTGAAACTGAGAGCTTCAGCTCAGGCAAAGTGTCGTCTGTCAAACTTGACAGACCTTGCAGGAGTATCAGTATGACGATCTGGGTTATCGTGGGCATGGATGGAAAATCAGCAGCTGACACTTGGAGGCAGTGACTGACCTGGATAAAACGTCTGCTGGATTCACACCTCAGCACGTGTCGCTCACAGCGACAGGAACAGGGTGTGAACCACGTTGGACCCCAGTGGGTTTCAGGCTTCTGCATCTGTCTTCCCCCAGCAGCTTTAACCCATCACTATCCTTATTCTGGGCAGACAAGAGGACAGAAAGGTGAATTTGTGTCTGTTTCTCAATGCTGGTGCTTCAACGTGTACCTTTATAAGACCACCTGGAATATGGCAGAGCCGTCCCTGTTGTTAATATCAAGCGTCAGTAAAGTATTTTGGATAAATCTGGATGAAGTGCTGAGATGAACTGTAATTAATCACTACGAATATACAACTGCCTCTCTAGAACAGTTTAGGACTGTACGGGTAAAATTTCCTCTCAATCTTACACTGTCATGAGGAACTTCCTTTGGTATCAACTTCTAACTGGCTCCCTGAGACAATGATAGCTCTGTGGAAGGGAAGGATGTTTTATACAGTCTAACCTCATTATAATGAACCCTTTGAATAAACAGTTGATATATCTGAACGCTCACCACAATTAAAGTGGGGAATTTGCTCCATCCGGCCAATGGAAAAACACCCGTATCTGAGACAAACACTCATACCTAGTACAGTAATAGAGTTTTGTTCACAGCAATGAAAAACTAAAGTACTTTCAAAAGAAAATTGTGAATACATACATACAGAAATAGTTTATTATGCTTTCAAGGTAGATTTACTATGCTTTAAGAAAAATAGGAGCTACATCATCTTTGTTAAGTTGCATTTTTTTTTTTTTTTTTTACGTAAGGCTAATTAACAATGCGTAAATGGATAGCTCTTACCAATTTGGCTGTATAAGCATAGCACAACGGGACTCTCCTGTTCTGTCACTAAGCTGTGAATCTTGTTGCATTCCCGCTTGTATTGTAGGAATAAAACAGTCTTCAGAGCACGTAAGTCTTCTCTACTTTCTGCCTACAGTCTATTCCTATGCACTGACTGAGCTGGATGGCAAGCAATGCCATGTGTGTCTGTTGATAACTGAGGGTAGAAGACCAGAAGGCAGCAGCCTGCTGGTAAATGTGTGAAAATATTCACTACTGATACCCATATCCTATGGTTGGATTTGGCATGCAACATCTGCATAAAAAACCCCTTGTGTGTCTGTCTATAGAAAACACCAGAAAAATCTCAGTTACCTATTAGCAATCTCTATTCAGCACTTGAATACCAAGGAAACAACACAGCAATATCTGTTAGAAAGAAAACATTGCAAAAAATATGCTTTGCTCTAACCCATGCTGCTACTACTACAATTTTCAAAAATACTTAGCTCATATACCCAGGCTTTTTGAGAGCTGACTCAAAACCTGCAGCTAGCCTGAAGTGCCCAGTGTATTCTCTTTGCTGTCCTTGAGCTCCTTCTGAATGATAACCATGATGCAAAGCCAGCTGCCCATCCCTGCGATGAGAAGCTGGTCTTGTTCTTTCCCATGCAATTACACCACCATTTCTAGTAGTACTACTTGCAACGCATTGTCCCCTCTAAGTGCAAAGAAAAGGCACAAGTACAAGAGTCTCTTAGTAAAACATTAATCTCAGATCACAGATTTATTTTATGGATTTGCAACACAGCCCATATTACAAACATTGTCTGGGAACATTTACAAGAATAAATAAGATGGACTCGCAGTTGTAAAAAAAAGATTACACTTCACTGTAATGTACAGTCAAAAAATATATCTGATATTCATTGACTTGACATTATTTACCTTCCTTCTTTTAAGCTAGAAAGAAAAGACACTGAATGCACAGTGTTAAGATTCTTGTATTTATATTTTTTTCCTTTTTTTTTTTTTTCATACGTGCTTTATCTATCAAACATCCAAACTGTACAAGTGAGTTTCACCAGTAATCCATAAAGGCCAAAGAGGAGGGGAAGATGGGGGCGGCTTCGCAACAGCAGAGATTAGCTCTCATGCAGCACTCCTCCCTGCTGGCAAAATGCACCCAGGGAGCTGGAATAGGACACTGCTGATCCAGATGCAGCCACAGCATTGCTGTGTGAAGGAGCGCCAGGTCTGGCAACAAGTGATGCTAGTAGATTTTGATTTCAACAGGGTTGGGGTGGGGGAGGAAGGGGGGGAAGAAAAGGAAGGAGATTAAATCAATACAGGAGTGAATTTTGTCAATGTGGTGAGTCAGTAGGGGTTAAAGGATGTGTTAAGGATACAGCTCAACTTTTGGCATAGAAGTACAGTATTTAAGTGCTGGAGATGTAAGAAAGGGCTACAGGGGTGACGGGGGAGTAATGCCAGTTCTGTTCCAGGTACATGAAAGTCCATCACATGAAGTCTGGTTAGACCTTCAGCAATGCAAACAACTGACCACCATTTTTCCTGGGGAGTCTTTAACGTTAGAATATCTAAATTCATGAAAGCTTGTGAAGTGCTGGCCACACTCCCACTTCCATCCCTGAAAACACACTCATTTCCATAATTTCACACAAGTAAGATTTCCTGCAAGTCCCCATTGAAAGATGATGTACTCACACAAGGAAATAAATCTCTGTAGTGCAACACGCTTGAGGAATCTTACAAAGTCCCCCAAATAGCAGTGTTTCAGGGTACCTGATCTCCCAATGAAAAATATCTCCACTGAAACGCTGTCATTTAGCCTCCGCTGAAGTAACCACTATGCTGTTGGATACCTATATATGAAATATCAGGACTGGTCCCAGAGGGTCCATCTACAGTGTACCTTCACCTTGCAATAGGCAAATCCTTGCTCCAGACAAAGTGGCGTGGACTGGCTCATGTTTATACTGCTTAGAAACAGCTCATGCCGAATTGGGTAATTGGGTTGCAGAAAAACATTTTAGTTTGTTCCCCATTCATTATTTCTATTTTTCATTTTTCTTTTTTTTTTTTTTTTTTTCCTTTTTTTTTTGTTTGTATTGTGGGTGTTTGTTTGATTGTTTGTTTTGGTTTGTTTTTTTCCACCAGGAAACACTATGGGAACACCAGCAACTGTCATTCAGTCTGCTGCATTATTTTAGTTCTTAAGGCTCAAGTTGAAAACAGAATAGTGGTGAAAAATCTGCTGCATGCACTGGGACAAGGATGGAAAGGCTAATTTAGATCTCTCATATTTTTACAAACTGAAAAAGCTGCCAGGTTTTCACAATTATGCTAGTCCAACATGAAACTGTGGGATATTCTGAGTATAGTTTATTTTTTACAAGGGAGGCTTTTAAAATATTTCAACACAGCAAATAAAGATTATAGACTAGAGGTCACTGGAAGGCAGCAAGATTTTTCTTTTTTCTTTCCATCACACTCAGTACCACCAGGATTTGGTCTTGATATATGAAAATGTATGATTTTGCTTGACAGTTACAGCAAACTGTACATTCTTCAAGTATGTACACGAGGAAGATGACTGATACCTTTTCCAAGTCAATGAACAGATAATACATGATAGATTTTCCTAGTGGTCCTTGCCAAAACTGCAGAAAGTGGGCTTTGCTTGCTATGCTGTTGGCTCGCCCTCGATGAAAGAAGAGCTGTGGGTATTTTGGGAACAGGGAAAGAGCACTTGCATTTAAATTGTATATTATGTATGTATGGCTATAGAAGACTGCAATCTAAATAAATAGGAACACAGGAGGGCTAATGGAATCCTTATTATTCACTTCTGTCTCCCTGACTTTAATTAGCTGGCTCCCCCCAGTTCTACTCCTGTAAACATCTGTGCGGGAAAGATGCAGTAGTTTGTTCTACCGTTTCACAGTTTCCTAGGAGGTATACTGAATTTTTGACCCAAAGGCCGTGGTTATGCTGAGTAACTTTTGCCACATGGCCCCTTTTATTTTTCTAACAAACCAGAGTTGACTCAAGTTTGTACACTCAAATGAAAATACAGCAGGCTCACACAAAGTTCTTGAGATGCCCCTTGCACTGGCTGGAAATACCATAAAAGTTAACTGCGCTACCAATGTAATGGAGTTGATTGTTTAAATTTATTACAGGACAATGAAGCTTTCCAAGCAGAACATTTCCACTGCATTGCACGTCCAGGACCACGTGCTTCTCTGGGATGACTTATTAAGAATTCTCCAAGTGTGACAGATAGAGGCACCTCGTAGTTGAAGATTCCTCTCTCAAGCAAATCTTTTATATTTGTCCCTCAGGATTTTTTCCCTCTGTTACACTCTGACTGCCCTGTCTCCACAGAGCTCCACAGCATGGAATGTGGCATTACCTGTTTTTTTATGATCTTGGCATGAACTCAGAAGAGTAAGAAAGATGTAAGAGCAGCTGTGCAAGAATGAGAGACAGAACAAGGTGCAGACTTCCTACCTGTTTCAGGACTCCAGTTAATCTGCTTCCTCCTCAATGTTTGGTTTCTTCCAAAGGAGATTTCATCTCCTTTCCTTCTCTTCCAGATGGCAATTGGCTTAAACACCTTCTGAATCACCTGCTGCAGGAGCCTCTCTCCTTTCTCTGACTCTAGAGTGCACCAAGAGCAGTGACCAGCAATCCCTGGCTGGAGATTCCCAAGGGAAACCCCAAAAATTACTTCTAAAGGGCCTGTGAAAAGTAAATGGAAAAACAAGTCTACCACCCGCTGACTTAAATCTACTACTACGGGGTCTACATTGCCACTGAGCATTTTATTCACCGAGCAGGGAGTTTATGGATGCAGAATAAAAGACTGGAAACTACTGGCACACAAATGTATTCTGCTCTAGGCAGAAGTTTGGGGATTCCCTCCTCTGCCCTACAAAGTTACAGGGGCCAGACTGATTGGGTGTCACAGGCATTTCCCCAAATCTCTGTCTCCTTTTTGGGAGTTACCCGGACACGTGTGTGCACATGGGCAGGGGCTGAGCAGGAGAGGTGGTGGTAGAGAAATGGTGGTTTGATTTGGGGATAAAGGCCACTAAAGATGCAGCTTTTCAGTGCATGTAAAAACTTTCTTTCATTGCTAACTGCCTGTTGTCCTCGGACCAAAATGGACAACTCTAGCTCACATAAATGGCTAAAATGTGAATAAATTAAGAGGGACCCACCAGAAAGACATAATTCTGTGCAACCTTGCTGAAGAATTTAAATCACAAATTGAAAGGCTTCCTACTAACCTTAGTCCAGGGACTTCCCTGATCAGAGACAACCAATTATTTCAATCTGCAGACATAAATAAAACCACCAAATTCCAATTTGCTTGCTTGCTACCAGAGGTCCTGTTTCTGTTACCTTCACATATACACTGTACTCCCTTGCATGGTCTCTTCTCTTTACGTTAATAATCAAGTACCTCATGTCTATTTACAGGAGGTCAGATGCCTGTTTCCTTATAGGTAATTTGAAGGGAAAAAAAAAAAAAACAACCCAGAATAGAACACAGCTCCTGCGGAGATTTTAATTAACAAAAACCCAAACCAAACCCACAAACCACCACCAAACAAACACAAAACTACGAAAAGAAAAGATTGTTAAGACCTACTGTACCTTTTAGGGGTTTTGGTCTATCTCTTTCTTGCAGACAGCTCAGCTCTTCCTTCTCCAGCAGCCAGCCTAGATAGCTCTGGAATGCTTTGCTTCAGTTACATCCCTTAATAATTTGTTAGTTACCTCCTGTATGAGATAGTCACCCCTGAAGCACCCATCTTTACCTATTTCTAGTCCCCTGTATTTCAGACTAAACTTTAAACTATGACTATGCTATCAATAAGCGATGCTCCCTCACCCCTGAAGATGTCTGAATGGGAGTAAGTTTACCTTCATTATGGCCATTCAAATATTGTCAATATTGTATTCTTCCAGCGTAAAATTTAGTCATTGAGGAATTCACCTTTTCTACTGTACATTATCACTTTCCATCCACAGCAGGGGATGCTTAGGTTGGAAAGCTTGCCCTGACTATTAATCCTTTCAGGAATGAAAAAGCCTCCTTTATCTCATCTCATAACTTCTCTCTTTCCCAGCAAAAACAAACCCATGATCCATGATCTTGCTTCAAACACATTACCTATTTTGCTATAGGCTGTTCTCTGGGGTTTAAACAACCTCAAAGTAATAAGGTTATTTAAAGCGAGCTTCTCTTCTCTTTCCACACAATTCCCTTCATCATTAATTCACATTCAGCATATATGCATTGTGCAGTAAGGAACTGCATAAAGATCCATAAGCCAGCACAGACTGGAGCTGGGTCAGTCCCCCAAAAGCAACGTAACTGCATGATAACAACTTGGCAACATAATCTGTGGTGTTTGCTAAGCATCCTTCCACACGGATGGTAGGCTGGACATTAGAAGAACATTGAGACACGAGGCTGAGTTGCCACATAATAAGCTGTGACCAGCAGTTGGGCTGTGGTAACCAAAATTTGCATTAAACTTCTTCCTTGCAAATACAAGGTAAAATTTAGCTTAAATATCTTTCCCCACAGTTTAAGCTAATGTCACTTGGCATTTGCAGAGGGCTAAAAGCCCATGGTGAGTTGTGGGTCAGCTGATACACGTATCTGAGCCTTTCATAGCATTTTTCATACCATAAAACACATTCAAACCTACCTCAAGACCTTAAACAACTACTCCACTGAAAGTGCTGTTCTGCTCTGCTCATCCAACACCTTCTTCTCTCCATGCACACAGCCCTTCTGTGGGCTTACTTCTAGCTTTTTAATCCACTTTCCTTCATGTTATCGTTCAGCCCTGAATTACCTCCTACACTTCACGTCTCAGTCATTTTGCCATTTCTTCTACCTCTTTCTTCCTTTTATCTTGGCTGTCACGCTCAGTGCTTGCACCAGTCTTTCAATAACTCATGAGGGGGACCTATTACTATGCTAGTTTCCAAGTACAATTAATAGAATGATAAATATTAATTAATATTTCCATAGTATCCACAGGGAGTGATTCCCTTTGGTTTCCTGGAGTTAGCAAAGTCACGAACACTTTGCTGACTTGTAGTTTCTTCCTATCTGGGCAGTTGTTGAAAATTCATGTTCTGGGATCAGGATTCCCTCTCCCCTCTTCTTTGATAATGGCTCCTAACTCCTGACCTACACTGTTACAGCAAGCCACCTGTAATCAAAGCAGTAATATTATGCCTTCCTTCTCATTTTTATCTCATAGGTTTGCTTTCTCTTCATTTGTTTCTGCAGAATCATTTGTGTTGCTTAGTGGCAAAAGTAAAAAAAAAAAAAAAAAAAAACAAACCAAAACAAAAAAACTACAGACAATTAAAACCAGTAGTTTGTTTCATGAGATGCCAGACATCCACCTGCGGCCCCAAGAGAAACCAAAAGTCTCTGCAAGAAATCATGAAATCAACAGAAAGGACCAACTACAAACAGAGCAGAGGCACCTGTGAGGGGATTCTCACCAATACTTTACGGCACACTGGCTACATCAGGGGCAATGTGGTTCAAGGTTGTTTAAGACCTTCATGATATCCACTTGGAACAAGCCAAAAATCCAAAGCTCCCTGGCAAGAATACGAGTTAGGCAGTTCAGCATCCTATGAAGCCCCTTCTCTGCTTAGCAAGAAGAGGGTTATTGCTGTTCCAAGCATCCTTCCCTAGACTGCTGCAGGTCCTGGTAGTGATGACAAGTTTTTGGTTAGATACTGGTATGTTTGAGTTGAGAGTTGCTTTTATCAGATTTAGTTTTCATCCTTCATTGTCAAGGCAAAGGTATGACTATTGAAAAAAAGAATGACCATGAAGCAGAGGTGCTTTTTGAATTTACATACAGAATCAGGATTTTTTTTTTTTTTTAATTTCTGGCATGCTCTATGCCAGGTATTGACATGACAGAGCTCCCAGCACAGTCTCTGAGTATTTACCTGAGGGTGGAAAACTACAAGGTAGTAAGAAAGTGGAGTTTCCTTAAACTCTTACCTTCAGTCTACCTTTTAGCAAGTCTGTATTTGAAGAAGCCTACATCTCCCAGAATCTAATTTACACACAGAGCAACCTTGTATCCACTCACCCTCAAGATAAATAAATGGATAAATTGAAATACTGAATATTGTAAAGACTTGTTCATTCAATTATTTTTTTCTCCAAGATTACCCTGCAGACCTTAATGATTAACTGCTTAAACATACTCTTTCAGAAAAGCAATTTCTTAGCTGCTAAGAAGTCAGAGTGAGATCCAGAACCATGGCAAAACACATCTGGTGTTTGTTTCAAAGACGGAGAGTTGCACAGGCATTTTTGCAGAACAAAACAAAAGCTGTTTTGCTTAAGAAGGAAAGTTGCTGTGCTAGTCTAACACTTTTCTTAACACATGTCAGAATAGGTTTCTGTGTATGTACATCACCTTTCCTACAGCTTGGATGGGTTACCATTTTGAAGCTTGTGTAGCCTTGAAATCTGAATAAATCACTCAAATACATCTGACTGTACAACAGTTTGGATATAGTGAGGAAACCTTGACTAAACCCAATTTTAAGATTACCTTCAGATTTTAAGCTCTTGAGCAGGAACTTTCTTTGTTCTCTGTTTACACAGTGCCTAGTTCAGCAGGGTCCTGTCGTGACTAGGGGTCCTAAGTTCTATAGCAATACAAATAATAAATAAAAAATAATACATAGTATATAGTCAATAATACCTACTTTATACCCTGTTTTTCAAAGACACACTGCACCCCAGCAAATACTTGAAAAATATGGTAACAAAGTTACCAAAAGTTGCAAGACAAATGCAATTTGTTTGATGCAAATATTTAAGGTTTAAGTGGCTGGGAAACTCATTAATGGTATTGCTTCACCGGCACTGAAACAAACACAGACCCGAGAGATGTAACCGGCTCATGCACAGCCTTGGGAGCCTAGCAGAAACTGGGAGCAAACATTTGTGTAGAAGCCAAGGCAGTGAATCCATGAACAGCTTCTCATCTCCACCATCTATTTTCATGCTAAAAGGGACTACATATGGGAAGAGAATTCCAGCGGGGTTTTTTTGTGTTGGCCTTTTCATTTGGAAAAACAAATAAAAGGAGACAGATAAGGTAGACAAATTGTAATGAAACATTTCATATATCCCCTATGGCTATCTCATTTTTCCCAAATGACTGCTGCATAAAATTAAAAAATTAAAGACTGGGATTTGAGAACAAAATTATAAATTAAAAAGGAGACATTTAAAAGAGAATTTCCTAAGGGTTTCATTCCTTCCCCACTCTGCAGCAAAGAGAGCAAAAATACAATCCAAAAGAGGAGAGAAGAAGTCAGAGGGCATTAGAAAGTCCAGTCTTTCAGCCTGTCTCCCATTTTGCTAATTTTTACAGTAGGTTATTTAAGAAGCAGTAGATGTTCCAATAGAAAGCAGGCAGCAGCAAACACAGGCATCATCTCCTCCTTCCAGCGAGGTCTGTGCAATCTCAGTCTCTTGCTCCGGGAAGGAGAGGTTTTCCTTCCCACACTTGTTACTGCCTTCCAGTGTGGGAGAGGGGAGAAGCGTCTGCCACGGATTGGGGTCTGGCATTCCAGAGGCTCCCCTCCCTCCACTGGGCTAAAAGGAACTCAAGTATTCCAGTGCAACCTCGTATACAAATTTATATTGTTCCTGAAAGAGAGAACAGAAATCAGTGGCGTTAGGATACAAGTCTCATTCTACAAGCTGCCAGAAATGCCCCCTCCCTCTTTCTTATGCCATTTGGCAGAACCAGGCAAACAGTAATTGTATTTCTTTGTGATCCTGAACAAGCATTACTAAGAGATGGTACCATCAATGGAAGAGAGAAGTACTCAAAAAGACAGCCACAGTATGGACTATTCATTATTTGCTTCAAGCCCTCAGTGCATGCATTGCTTTTGGGGAAAGAATTCAGTGCAATCGATCGAGATGATTGAATTCAGGACAGTTTAATCTCTTCGGTTGCAGGGAGCAAGGCCTGGGGTTTGGACGGTTCTCCCTTCCTGGTTTCAAGTCATGTCACAGCATTAAGCACCGGCTGTACACATGCACGGGAGGACAAATTGCTCCCCCCCCACCCCCCCCCCCCCAGCCATGGTGACAGCTACCTGGGGTCCCACCTCCTGGAGGCAGCTGGGCGAGAGAGACAGCGTTCAGCACGCTGCCAGGGGAGCTGCCCCCCAGCTCACAGAGAGCAGTGCTGGGCCAGGAGGAGGCACTGCACGTGCTGAAATGGGACTGATTTTAATTCTGATGGCTTCATGTTATGATTTGTTTTGATTCATACTGGGCTGAGCCACGAAATCTTTTTTTACCTATCCTCAAGGCCCCCTGCATACGCTGGGTGGGGGTGAGGGGCAGGGAAAAAAGCTTACCAGTGACTCCACCATGTTGGATTTGTTATTCCGTAATGTTTTCACTATGTGGAACACGTCAATGATATTTTGCTGTTGAATCATTTCACACACGCTGCAGATGGCACAGAAGGTGCCGCTGCGTCCCCCACCGTTCCTGGGCGCAGGAGAGAAGAGGCGAGAGGTGAAGGCAAGGCTGAGGGAACGGCGGAGAGCGCTGCTCACACACCACGAGCACTAAGAAAGGCCTGCAACGTACAGGCTGGTTAAGGACGTCCGAGGGTTTGTGAAAGGGGAGACCTGCATGGCAGGAGGCAGGGATGGAAGGGCCAAGGCGATGCCTGGCCGTGGTGGACAGGGAAGCCCCAGGGCCTGCAGTGCTGCTCCTCACGGCTCCGGGGCTCACGGCAGCTCTGGTCAGAGCCGGACACGCGGCAACGCTGCCGCCGTTGTGTCTGGGCTCCAGGCATGGGACCTACCTACGCAACAGAAAGTAGCAGAGCTACTCCTCACGCCATCAGTAAAGTCTCTGGGCCAGGATGCTATAACGTAGCACAATATTCAACTTGTATCACAAATGTAATTTCATTTTACGTGGCTGAAGCGTGGCGAACCGCCAAATTTCCAGATCCACAATCAGTGCTCTTCAGACAGCATTTTGTGAGGTTACAGACATTTTCCTACTTACAGGCAATGGACAACAGTCCGTCCGTCTCTCCCATCGTACTGTTCCTGCCACTTCTCCAACCTTCTGACCACCTTCAGGAGGGAGCGTTTGGAAGGAGGAGTGTCCCTGTATGCTGGCCAGCCAATGTACTGCAGGTGCTGAACTATGCGATATCCGTCCTGAGGCTAAAACAAAGAGCACTTTCAAGATGCTAAATGGAACAGGGCAGAAAGCAGAGAGAGAAGGTAAAGCAGGGGGCACTGGTTACACGGCATCTTTCCCCCTGGATCTGATGACACCCATGCTAACATCCTCCACTCGGGATACCTGATACAGTGAGGAAACAAGGACTTTTTGGTAATCCAGGTAACAATGATAACCTCAGATATTACAGAGCCGGGCAGAAAATAGGTGCATAGGATCCCTTATTTTGTTTCCAGTAGAGAATAAAGTCTCATCAGACTGTACAAATACATCAGATGTGTCTTTCCTGGCTGCCTGTGCTGGAGATTAGTTATGCCATGAGAACTAAAGGCAAAGAAAGCCCTCAAAAAAAATCTCTGGGGACTGTGGCAGGAAAGGATCCTCATAAAAATTTTAGCGGCAGCCACTGGTGTTGAACACAGATGGGTGCAGAGAGCTGTGAGTCTACAGCATCCACCCTGCCAGCTCTACATTTATGAGCCAGCTTCATCCTGAGAGTCACAGAGATTTAGTCTTATTAGCTATATGACTTCAAGGCTGTCCCTGGTTCAGAAACAGTTAGCCTGGGATATAGGAAGGTGAATATTGAAGTGATTTATCAGTTTGTGTGGTTGGACCACAAGGTTCACTCTGCAATGCTACGACTGAATTGCTGTCCAGGTTCTGACCATACAATCAGAGACTGATGTGTTAAACAGCTTGGAAATTTAATTTGTGGCGCCTGTTTCCATTTCTGATTAGAAAACATGAAAAAGGAACAAAAGAGGCGACATAATCAATCTGGAAAACACCTAATGAGAGAAAAATCCTTTACTGAAACCCTTCTCTACAGCCCTGAAGTTGCATGGCCAGGGTCCAGTGTGTAGATAAACTTCGTTTCTATCATTTCAGCTGTCCTGGCACTGAGGGATACAGACAAAGAGTTGCTTACTGAAATGGCAGTTGCTTATTTATAGGGAAAACAGTGGCAGTTGGGAATCCCAGTCTAGCCAGTAAATGTTACATCTATCTACAGAGACACTGCATAATAGTTGACAGATGGAGAGCTGCTGATGCTATCCCAGTTTATTTCCTATGATACTGATGGTTTTATATTGGCTATTGGGTGATTAATTGTTCTCAGATATACACAGAAAAAATGCTTTCCATTTAAATACAGCTTTTCAGCTTCTATCATCCACTTTCTACTTTCAGCCAAGAGTCTTTTACCAATACAGACTGATGCAATTAAATGTTAATTAAAGAAAGCAGCTACTATAGTCTGCAGTGGAATTTTGTTCCTAGGTAAAAGATTCAGCATCTCTAAACCAGAAGCCTTGGTTCTGCCTCCTCCTTACACCAAAATATATTTTTGAGAATAAATAGGGAATCTGGTACTTCACTGATCTTACCCTGGCCATGTTGCAGATCCGGAATATCCGGTTGATGATATCTTCATCAATGTCCGCTGAAACAAATTCTACTTGAATTGGGCCATAACAACAGGATGTCTTCTCTGGCCAGTACTGCATGCAGAGCTGGAGAAAATGCCAAAAGGATTAGAAATAATGTTAACTTAACAAGGAAAAGCATGTTCAGTTTTCTTTCCTTTCATATTTATAACTAGCTCAAAATCCATAACCAATCTTGTATTACATGTATATGCTCAGAGAAGACCTTATTCTAGCTCAGCAAACATTTTTTGTATTGTGAATATGAAGAAGTAAATAAATAAAGAAATTTTAGAATCTTGACTTCTTCCCCCTTCCCCCTGCCCCCCCTTTTTCTTTTTTGTAGGAACACAATTTGTAACTGATCGAATTCTGGGGTCTAAAGGTGCAAGAAAGGTGGCTGACAAATGAAGCTTCTGTAGGGGTATAGATTTAAAATGAACATTAAAAGATTAGTGTCTGTAGGTAAATTTAATAGGAGCTGCACAGGTTTGGTGTTAATGAGGAAACAGCACATGCACTAAGAAAATTTATCTTAATTCAAGCAAAGTGGAACGTCTTTTTTCTGCAAGATGAACTTTTTAGTTTTCTGACTCTACCAGCAAACAGGGGAGGGAAAACGAGTTTGGTCTGAGAGCAATGACAGCAACTCTGATTTCAGGGCGAACCACAACTGAATCTCTGAAGTTTGTGAAGCAGGTTAGAAGTCTTTTTTCTTATGCTGATATTACTGAAGTGAAAGTACAAAAAAAATCCTATCCACACAAATTACAATCTAAGTATTTCAAATCCATCTGGAAATAGATCATGGTGAGAAAATATTTTGCATGAGATCTCATTAGGAGTTTCTGCTGAGATTGTATTTCTTTCTGGTTTTTTCTTCCTATTTTCAAGTGTAGTTTTTTAGAAGTTTTGAAACCCCCAGATGCTCATTTGAACTTGATCTCAAGCTTTTCAAGTTCAATCATTTCCAGTAATAACGTCAAGTGTGTGCATGCTGCTGCATTAATTCTGTATTCCTGTTATTCCTTCAATCATATGGGATTGAAATTGGGTGGGATATTCACGCAATTTTTGTCCTTGTTAGTTTTTCAAGATTAAGAAGCCAGCCAAGACCATATAAGTGAGTCCTCCTTTGAAGGCTGTCTTTACTCTTCACTCAGACTTTCAAGTGGCCTACAGATCTCCTCTCAAAGCATCTGTCCAAGAGGTAAGGAGATTTGAGCTGAGCAGGTGCTTTAGGAAACAACTGCAAGGTGCATTGGAAAGAAGAAAAAGATTAAACCTTTCCTTAATATTGAAAATATGCTTTTCATAAAGTAGGTCTGTGAATGGCCAACTACTCAAATATATATGTATAGACAGTGCTTAAAATTGTCTGTTACGTTCTCTGACCTCTACATTGTTTTAACTGCACCTTTTCCCTGCATAGCGGATTTAAGGTTCATTTACCTATTTATTTTAACTCTTTTCCTCTCTACAGTTCAGGCACAGCTTTTATATAAGCAATTTTTATGTTTCTGTTCTACTCATGAAGATGAGTAACATAACCTGCTCATCACAAATATGGTATCTGCAGGCAACAGTACACCAACAGTTTCATAGTGCTTATGGTACAGCACTTGGATTAGTCAGTGATGAACAGCTAGATAATTACAACATCATCATAAAATGACAGTACAAGCACAACATTGTTAAGTTTCCTTTTCAGAAACCTCACTTTCACAACTGATCTGCTGGAGGGTATGAAGGCTCTACAGAGGGATATGAACCAGCTGGATTGATGGGCTGAGGCCAACTGTAAGAGGTTCAAAAAGGCTCAGTGCCTGGTCCTGCACTTGGGTCACAACAACCCCGTGCAACACTACAGGCTTAGGGATGAGTGGCTGGAAAGCTGCCTGGTGGAAAAGGACCTGGGGGTGTTGGTTGACAGCTGGCTGAATATGAGCCAGCAGTGTGCCCAGGTGGCCAAGAAGGCCAATGGCATCCTGGCTTGTAGCAGAAACACTGTGGCCAGCAGGACTGGGGAAGGGATCATCCCCCCGTACTCGGTGTTGGTGAGGCTGCACCCTGACTACTGGGTTCAGTTTTGAGCCCCTCACTACAAGAAAGACATTGAGGTGCTGGAGCGTGTCCAGAGAGCAACGAAACTGGTGAAGGGCCTGAAGAACAAGTCTTATCAGGAGTGATGGGGAAACTGGGGGTGTTCAGTCTAGAGAAAAGGAGGCTGAGGGGAGACCTTACCACTCTCTACAACTACCTGAGAGGAGGTTGTAGTGGGGTGGGTGTTGGTCTCTTTTCCCAAGTAGCAAGTGATAGGATGATAGAAATGTCATCAAGTTGTGCCAGAGGAGGCTTAGATTGGATATTAGGAAGAATTTCTTCACCAAAAGGGTTGTCAACCATTGGAACAGGCCGCCCAGGGAAGTGGTTGAGTTGCCATCCTTGAGGTATTTAAAAGAAATGTAGAGGTGGCACTGAGGGACATGGTTTAGTGGAACTTGGCAGTGTTAGGTTTATGACTGGACTCGATGATCTTAAGGGTCTTTTCCAACCTAAATGATTCTATGATTTCAAACTGTCACACCTTGCCTTGAAAGCTCATAAGATACAAACTTTAAAACCATCCTTAACTTCCAGTGCTAGCTGGGTGTTTTTGGCATTGTCTGAAGCCTCGAGTTAGGTGACACTATGCTAGAGCAACCATCAAAGTGACATCATGCATTGCCAAATCTCCTTTTCTGTGCCTACAGACCACCTGATAAAAACAAAGCTTTGCTAGGAATAAAACAAAGCAGGTAAAGTCTTGTGAAGAAAGACAGTCACAACATTAACACTGGCTGAGGCTGATAGGTTTGTGTTTTCCAAGAAAAAGGTGTGAGAAAGCATGTCATTTCCAGAAAAAGAAGTGTTTATCTTTGAAGTGTCAGAAAAAAAGGAAAAGATTAAATTTGCCCCTGGATTCAATGCCAAGATGCAGAATCAGGCAGAGTGAATTGGACAGGAGGCAGCAAATGCACAAAACCTCCAGTTCCTCACACAGTGGTGGGACTCTGTGGGGCACCAAGAGAGCCCACTTCCAAGCAGAGCTCTTATGGAATCCCATGGCGTTCCCCTTGAAGGCAGATCCCCTCAATGAACGGGGTGGTTGGCTTCTCCATTACCATCAAAAAAAATACCAATCATCTCACTGCCTTCAAGTGTGGTAAGATTTTGAAGACAGAGAAGAGAAAAATGAAAAATTAATCCATGAAGTACCAACTACTTGAGGGTTCCTCTCCTCTTGTTTAACAAGTGCTGTAATGGTTGAATTAGCCATGCCAAATGTACTCTTCACACAAATTGCATGATTACACCTTTTTGAAAGCTGTTATCTTCTGCCACTCATCAGCAAGGTGGCTGGAAATGCTAGGACAGGAGGAACTGCAACAGCTCCTCCCCTGGCAAGCTCAACTCCAGAAAATAATGGTGTGTTTAGTAGCCAAGAAACCAACTTACACATGACACTAGAAAGAAGAAAAAAAAAAAAGACACAGTACAATGTACTTCTCCAGAAACTGTGCAAACCACACTTCTCAGTATTACAGAATTGCATTGGAAATCTCAGGGAAAAGATCCTTTGAAAATATGAAAGGGAAGAAAGCGGGTTTGGGAGTAAAATTTAGGCCTGCAAACACAACATATTTATATATCCCTGTTAATCACAGTAACAGTTAGCTGCCTTAGAAGGAGAAAAGCATGTGGACTTATTCTTCATTATACCCCAAAACATTACCTATTACTTTCCAGTTCCTCTTCACTTGTTTACTGGGGTGGGGCACAAGAAAATGGCACCCAAAACACTCTTAAAAGCATCTGGATTTGAGAAGAAATTTATATGACAGAAATGATTAAAAATCTCTTACCTGTGCTGCATCCATCTCATTCAGCATCACAACAGAGGAGCAGTTATAATCAAACACCAGCCTCCAGAAGTCTGCTATGGTGTTGGGCAAAGGGTGTTGGGTTACAATAAAGGCAGCAGGTTGCTTGTGGCTCTAACAAAAGAATAAGATTAGTTAAAAAAAAAATTCAATCAACTTTTATTCAAACGAATATTATACCCGGGAGGCTATGGCTAGGCAATCTGAGCCATTTAACCAGATTATACAAATCACATATCCTTCTCCTTGTTATCGCTCTGCAATGAATGAATGTCTCATAATGGGATTCTTTTGCTCCCAATGAAGACATTTCAATAAAGAAGTGTCACAAGAGCAGAGATTACCCAAATCAATTATTTATATTTTGAGACTCAGCAAATAATACTAATTCTACGATTACTACTACTACTACTACCATCAGTAATATTAATAATTGGAAAGAAAACAGCTGGAAGCAAATGCTATTCTTTTTGTTGCAATGGACTCTTAGGAACTACAGAAGGGATTAGCCCCCTCATCTGGTATTGCTCCCTGGTGATGTAGTGCTGCAGAGGTGGCACATTTGGATCCCAGCCATCCTTTAAAAGCTTGTGGGGCAATATTCAGAGCCTGCAATGTTGGCATTTAATTTCTGATGCTATTCTTTCCCCTCAAAAAAGCCCTCTGACCTCAATCTCCCTAACCACGAAGGGGAGGAACTGTGCTCCTAACCTCTGCGGGGCTGTGTTAATGAATGTTTGCGAGGCATTTTGAGATGAAAGGGTACAAGCTCAAAACTTTATCGCTTTCCAACCACGGCAGGCAACGCTTAGATGAGCCTACAAACTGCACAGTCCTTTCTGCTGTACATCTGTGAAAGCAGACTTGAATCAAAAGGCACAATATTTCTGGGTTAAAAAAGATTAAAATTAAGATTATGTATTTAAAGTAAATAAATAAACAAAACCCCAAAGTATTAAGATGGCAGCTGTGGGGGTTTTGCCTTTTCTCCTCCGTATGAGTCAGTTGTGGGTGGAAGTGCTGAGCAGACCATGCCAGGAGGGGGAGAGGGTGTTGTGCACACTCTGCATCAGCTTGCAGGGTGGCTGTGCCTTGCTTCTGAGTGTGCACGTGTGAGGAGGGTGATGGGACAAGAAGTAGAGAGAAGTAAAAGGAAATGATTTCCTGGGAAATGATCAGTCTTGGAATGGATCTTCCTCTTTCTGCCTACTCTGTGTATCAAACCTAGGAGCACCAGTATGGGTCAAAAGCAGTTGTACAAGAAGAACAGAAGCAACATAGTGGTAAAGAAAATAGTGAATCTTACCTCTTATCTAGACTTAAGAATATGGCATTGTTTCTGCTGTGTTTTTTCATTGTGGACCAATATAGCAGATTGTATAACTGGCTAAACTGTTGGCTGAAGGTGAGATGTGTTTCTGGGTTTTGTCATTAGGAAGAAAAAGAAACGTGCACTATCTGTTTTCTCTGCTACAGGTGAGGAGCCAGTCTCACTGTCCTATTTTAAAGGGAAGGTGACACAGGGATATTGATTACTTATGCAAGAGAACACATAGGATATTGGGACAACAACAATGACAGGGATGCGACATGGACTCATGTCTGTCTTCAAGCTCCATACATTAAATACAAACCTATCACCACTTCTGTATGGCTTGACTCAGAGATGTGGGTAGAGTCTCTTTGCTTAAAGACTATGTTAAATTGCTTCAGGGGAAGGTGAGGGACAGTATTTCACCTATCTTCTTAACAAGCCATTCTGTAGATGCAAACATGGGCTTCCAATGATTCTCATAGGAAGGATCCTAAGGTCTGTTTACTTGAAAGGGACAGAGGACATGAAGAGGAAAGGTCAGGAGTCTCAAAATCTGCTGGGGAAGAATGCCTCCCCTCTGTGGGCAACAGTAGACCTTTGGCTGTATTCCCAAAAGCAAACTCAAAGCAGAAGAGGATGGGTTTTAATGCTCTGCGGTCAACAGGCTGTTTTAACTAGGAGCCCAGACTGAGCGCTTCGCTCCCTGTGGGAGGGTTCACATGGCATTCAGTGTCTAAGGTTAATTTTGGTGAATACAGTCCAGAGACACCTGCCAGATTGCCTTCCTGGGACAGTTCATGCTTCCAAACCCAGGTGGCAACCCAGTCTAGGTGTACCATCATCCCTTCCTGCTCTAGCAGTTCTTCCATCATAGCTTTCGTGTAATATGCAGGGCAAGCTGCAAGTCAAATAAGGTTTGGGGAGAAGCTTAACAAAATGATAAGCATGAGAAATCTGTAGGGCAGAGGTAAGTAAAATGATCAGCACTGGGACTGTTGTCAAGTGTTCGCCAGCATGTGCCTATCTTCAAACAATGAAAAAGCTAATGATAGCTCAAGGAAATATGGGATGGATGATCTCTTGTAAGAGCCTGTGCTTGGTATTAGACTGCAGACATGAAGCAACTGGAAAAGACAAAGAATTTGCAAGGTCTGTCTTCAACAAGAACGCCTATGAAAATGTGGGATTTTGGTTGTTCCTTTCTCTGATTTTCTTTTCAAGAGCTGCAGATTCCTCTATGGAAGGATAAGAGAGAGCTAGAGAACATCATAGTGGCTGAATTTCAATAACAAGTGAAAAATTCCTTTGTACAAAATTTTAATTAGCAGGAATTTTGTGGTGAAGGATACAAGTATTATCAAAGTGATTTGAGGTAATAAGGGCTGAAATGTGCAAACACATTCCCGGTCCCAAAGAAACCAGAAAAGAATTGATTGCACTTCTACAGATTTGCCAAAGCACAAAACACACTTAAAAGGAAAAAAAAAGTTTCCTTAGGCATACTTGCTATGAAAACATCACAATCTTTCTGAAAAAAAATCTAAAATTAATTATATGACCATTTGACTTAATCTCTTAAATGCAGTAGTATCACTGTTCCCCAAAGACTGAATGAACAGACGAAATTAAAAAAGACTGGCCCCAACACTGCTAGGAAAAAAATGATGACATTTCACCCTGGGTCATATTTACACATACACCAACTACAATAATTAGTGGCTTTAAAGACATTTCTGTCTAAAGGCAGTTAGGCACCACAGCAAAAAGACAGCATCAACATAATTCACCCCATACAAATGACCTGTGCTGTGAGATTCTAGCCTATAAACAAAGCCTTCAGACAGATTCACATCAGCTTAACTCATGTCCTTCAGCCTTAAAGTATTTTGTACATCTGATCCCTGTACTCCCATATTCTTAACTGCATAAGCTCAAATAAATCACTTGTTCCACACTGCAAACCATTCTTTTCAAAGAGCTGACCTGGCAGCTCCTTGCAAACATTTTTCTTCCAAGTTGTACAACAACCAATGCATGGGAAGAGTTGTCCCACCATTTCTTTGTCCACCTGCCTTTTTATGACACAACCTCAGACTGCATGCTCATTAACTTCTTTGTCAAATATCTTCCACCAATGTGAGGCAGAACTACAATAGTAGTTTGATAATCATAGTCTAGGTGACACATTTCTCTGTGCCTTTGCCCAGTTTGGAGATGTCAGCCCCAGAAACTGCATGTAAAAAAGCCTTTTTGCTTTGGATCCCTTTCTCCCAGAAAAATATCCTGAGAACGAATAAACACAATGCAGACTAGGATCAGTGGGGACAGTGCAGTGCTGCTTACATCCATGAGTGCAGCATTGATGTAGTTACTTGATTCGCCATCCACAGAGATGAGGAAGGGCAGGCACCGGTCCAAGGGCAACACATCCATGCAGCGGTTCTTGTCATGGTTCCTTGGCAAAAGACCAATGCTGCAATCTTCTGGCCGAACACGTGGTGTCACAATATTGAGTGTCTGTGAAGCGGGAAGGGAAGAAAGGAAAGAAAGACAGAAGCATGCTGAGTGTCTTTGAATTTACTTCCAATAATGATGCCATCTGCAAAATATGTTTGTTTTAAAAGTGTTTAGACTAGCAGATCTTCAGGATCCCAGAGAATGAAAAAGGAGCACTGAGGAGCTTGTTGCTGTTCTAATAGATTGCATTTTGTACATTGTCCTGAGGTGCTCTTCTGAAAACCATAAGCTTTAGCAAAAATTGAGGGCACTATACACCTTGCAACAATTTCCAGCTCCCCACAGCAGTTAGATAGCATTTCTGTTCTTTCCTAGACATTGGAAATAGCTGTCACAGGTACAAGTTGCAGCTTTGATCTGGTCATGGAGTGAAACCTCCTCGTGTTTCCACCATCCCTAGGGTGGAAGCACGCATCCTTCTCCTTCTTCTAGTACCTTGAGTACTGACATGTATTGCCCAGCAGGTCAGGCTGGGTTAAAATCCTCTGGTGATTCCTCAGTCAAACTATTGATTTATTTATACAATGCATATAAAAACTTAAGAGAAAATGCTGGGGTTTTTTTAACAGGAAAGTCTGTTTGTTTCATATATTATTTAGATTGATACTTTCTTTTTGGTATGACACATAGGATGTTTCACTTACATACTCATCCCTTATCTCTGGAGTGCTGCTGTCAGTCTTTTACTCTTATCTATCTTTCCCATAGCTTGACAAACTATATTTCTTTAAATCTAATTTAGTGTTATCCATTCTGGAGGCCTCCTGACAAAACAGTCCAGGTTGGTCAGCAGGGGTCAAAAATAGCAAATCAAAGTGAACGCATCTTGACACTGTCGCTTAAGCCATGGCAGATCAGTGCCTATCTGATGTCATTGTACTTTCACTTGTTAGGCATTCTCTTTCTGAGCAAAGCCCATGAAGTCATACAGTGAACTCCTTTGCAGCCATCAGAGGAACACAGAATATTTAGGGGACAAAAATTCTTTCAAAGAGTTTGATCTCTGCTACAGAGATTATGAATGGAGAAAAGAGGAGTGTCAAACAAATCAAGATGAAGTAATGTGTCAAAATATAAAATTTGAAATAATATAGTTGCTCTAATCTGTGCAGGTTCTACATAAAACTTGATGTCTAGAGATGGAAAACAGGTAGTTTTGCTAGGGAAGAAACATGAAATCTCAGATCTCTGACAGTGGAGATAATTAGACAGGTGACTTCTTAGTGATTTACCCCTGTCTATTTTATGCTCTTCCCCTCTCTCCCTTGTTTTCGTACTTACTCTTATTACAAAAACTCTCCAGAACGAGCTTTTGCATGTTCAGACAACATGTAATGCATGAGAAATACCCCCAGCCTTACCTGAGGGCCAGTGGGACCTAAATAATACAAATTGCACCAACAGATCTACAATTAGATCAACTGGTTAATAAAGATCGTAGCAGGAGATACCATTTTTTGCATTAAATCCAGACAATTAGGGCTGAAGAATGCTCTGAGCCAAAATCCTGTAAAAATAGATTCTACAACTATACAGAAAATGAACCTCTTATGCAAAGTACAGTGGAGCATTTCCTTCCCACAGGAGTTGCCAGCCCCTGGCAGCATAAAAGAACAAGCACACAGGCGACAAATCTCATCTCATATCATGATAAAATAAGCCCAGCAAGTGGTGACTCTTTTTTTTTAATAGCATAACAGCATTTGATGAAACTAGGCTTTGTCTTCTTCATGCCAGGCGTCCAGAAGCAGAAATGCTTTTACAGATCTGATATCACTTGATAAAACCAGATCTTTTTTTAATTGAACTGTCATCAGTTGGGATCCATATTCTTTTCTCTCACTATACCAACCCTGATGACTCCCTGTAACGTTTCAGATAAAAAACACACGTTCTCCCTTTGCACAGAGAGGGAGGAAGAGAAGCCTCTGACTCAGACTGGGGCTCCCAAAAGACATTCTCTTGCAGCAAAAGATACTCTTCTGGGAAAGCAGGTGGGCATTCCTACAATTACAGAACAATCTCCACCTTTTAACTGCTAAGTAGAATGGCCTTTTAACAAATAGCAGAGGTCTCTCTCTCTTTCCTGTCAAACATACCCTCTCCCAGATTTCCCACAATATTATGTTTTTTCCATACATCAGTGTTGGCTGAAAATCCTAAAGGGATTGACAGATACATTGGGCATAAGACTGGAAAACTTAGTTCAGTGTTCTGCAGGAGGAGTTCTCTACTGTGCAAGAGGTACAACTGCACAGGGCTCCTGGCTCATGTGTCCCAAGCTCATTTATTAGGGTGGGATAAACAGTGGTGACAGCAAAAGGTGAATGGGTCCCCATTTCATTGCTTGCCCCAGGTAAACCACATTATAGCAGCACTTGTTAATTTTACTGTATTTCATTTCAGTTCTCATCACCAGGTACTTGGCAAAACATCTGTAGTGAAAAGGAGGGATTCAGTTAATTGAAAATTAGCAATAGTCAAAGTAATGGTCACTGAGCTCACTTTCTCCTTTGTATGGAAAACATCAACATGTTGATTGTCAAGACTCAGAAACAGCATATGAGCCACGAGAACAGATAATAATGGACCTTGAGGCATAAATGTTTCTGCATAAATTACAGAAGAAAATGAACAACAGAATATTTGTTGAAATGAGAAGTACAATATTATGTGTGAAAATTAGTACCCTTGCTCTACTGAAGCGGTGGGGAAACTTTTCCTTGCTGAAGGCTGAAAAGTCCATACTCAAAAACAAATGTCTGCTTGATCCAGTAGCAAAACAACAAAAATCAGCTGAAATCAGACCTTGGCTCAGTGAACCCCTTCTCTGCTCTGTTGGAAATCATAAAATAACACACAGAAATTGATTAAGCACCTTCGATGCACCAACTGCAATGCCTGAGACACATGAAATTACCTGAAACTCATCTTTTATCTGGCTGGAATTGGTCTGTGGATCTAGTCTGCTGATGTTGTAATATATGGATCTGAACTCACAAACTGGAATGGCCGTGTTGCCACAAAGACATGCCTCCAAAATGGCATCATGGACAAATACATACTGCTCCTGCACAGGGGAGGGAATAAAATATTAAAATCATGTTTTTAATACAGTTCATGAAATATCATGTAGTTGGATTTTTTTTTTGTTGTTTTCACTGAAATCATGCCCAATATGCATATTTGGCTCTGTTTCATGTGGAGACAAATTACACAGCGTGCTATGTGACAGCTTTGTGAGCATATTTCATCCATCACTGAACGTGAGGTCTCATGTATTCATTTCAAATTTACAAGTAAAATGGGAAGTCACCACTCTCAGGAATGCCAGGACAAAATGGAGGTGGGATGAGGAGGAAATCAGGGTGTAAAGCTTTTTTCTCTTCACAATCACGAGGCAATGGTCAGAAACGGATTGTGCTTTGGACCTATAATACCAGCAGAAGGAAATGTACTGACAGGTCTGCTCCCTCTGTCTCTTCAAAATTCCTGAATTCCTGGTATTCTGGGTCAAGTTCTTTCCCTGAACTAAATATGAGAAGTTCAACAAAGTTAAAAGCTCTTCTCTGTTCCAGGTTATTGTCCTGTCCCTCATCAGGGGAAGGCAGTAAAGCACATAGGAAAAACTAGGGTATCAGGATAATGTTTCCATAGATGTTTGTGCAGCTGCTAGATGCTATATCACGGAGCAGCTTGCTTAATCAGCATCCAAAGCTTAAATCAAAGATGTTTCATTTGTTTAGCTTGCAATTGATATAAACTAGGTACTATTCAAGTTTGCAGTATACCTATGAATGAGTCATGAGAGGATTCAGGAGCTAGCTTTTTTCTACTGTGAGAATAAAATTAATCAGCAATGCAAAGACCTAAGCTTCAAGGCCTGCCCTCCTGTCTTGGAGGCCCTGAGTAGCTGCCACTGAATGTGATCCGGTGCACATCTGGTCATGTTTAGCCACCAAAAGTTCTGTATAATCACATCACAGAGGCAGTAAGTGTTGACTTAATGAACTGCTGGGCTCCCATTGAGCAAAGAAGCTGACAGAAAAGCAGTACATTGTAAGAGGAGACCTGCTGGCACCTACCTCCGTCTGCACCAGATTGACCCTTTGGGATCGCAGCTCTCGCACACAGTTAAATATATCTACCACACCTTCGTTCTCTGCCATGTCAAGCATGATGTCAATGGCAATAAAGCACCCTGTTCTCCCGGCCCCAGCACTATAAAAAGAAAAAACAATGAGGATCTGCATGATCAAGGGACCGTGGAAGGGCAGGGCTTTATGCAGGAGAAAATAACTATCACAGACACGGCTGTCTTCTCTTGGAAGCTGCTCACCTCTCCCTAATGTGTTGACTTTTTGTGTGTAGCTAAGTTAGCTTAGGATTTAAGAGAATGAGGTAAAAGAGCATTTCTCAAAAGGGAAATGGACCTTGGTAGCAGGAAAAAAAGCTTTGTGTTCTTGAACTTCAACAAAAAAATTTCTCTATGAAAATAATCATTATGCTTTTACAGGTCGGTTCATCTGCACACCTCTCATCACACAGGATGTGGGAGAGTAGCATCCATGTTGCAAACAGACACAATTCCAGAAATTGTCTTCCATGGGTCTCTTGAAAAGGCATGCAAGTTTACTCAAGTGGTCATGACGAAAGGGGCTCAGTCCTCCACTTCAAACATTTCTTTTCCCTTTTTAACCTGGAGGAGTCTGAGTCCCAAGGAGGATGATTTTAGGTTGTGTATTGTAAAATTATAGCGAAAGGATCTCAAGGTTACTAAAAATCTTCAGTTTAGAGCCCTCTGCTGCTTGCGGGAATTGGACCCTCTTCTGCAAAACTGTGTTGTCACTGTGCCCTCCTTCTCTCCTGGGAAATCATCCAAGCTGTTTAGGTGTGAAGGATAGAGAGAGAAGAGCGTCTCTTCACATTATTCTGAAGGAAGAAGGAAAACTCAGCTCATGTCAGGGAAACTTCAGTTGCATGAAAACTCCAGCAGAGCCGAAAGCAAGGAGATATGAATGACCATAAATTAATGGTCCAGATTAATCAACTGCTGAATAGAGAGAAGATATTTTTCATTTGCAGAATTTTAATGAATAAGTGGCATTTCCTCTCCTTTTATCTCTCAGCTTTTCAGAATTTTAACAAATAGTTATAACATTTCTATATTTAGAGGATCCTGGCACTTCATAAATATCGAACAGTGATATTATCCAGCCAGGCATCGGTAGGGAGAATTTGGTAATTACCACTTAAAGAAAGTCATTAAAATTCAAAAGCAGATAAATAACAGAGAGGAAATGGCATTTATTCATTAAAATGTGAAGGATGAAAAATTTCTCCTTGCTTTCTTGGTGACAGTGAATCAGGTTCAGACTCCTTCCAGGGCCAGACTCATGTCATGGCACCAAGGTAGCAAATTCAGGCCCTGAGCTCTGAATGCATTCCCTTCTGCCAGTTCCTCAGGCTTAGCTGTATTTCAGAACTGATTCATTGCTTGCTAAAAAACAAAACAAAACAAAACAAAACACCCCCCAAACCCAAACTGTTTTAGAAAGGTAAGATTTAACTGATTTTCCTTTTTAAAGCAGTTGTGGGATGCATTCCCCCTCTCTTCCTGATGACACAGCATGGCATTCAGAGGTAATTGTCTGTGGATTGATTAGGGGTGAGATTTTGGGATAGCCAGCTATGCTTTCTAGCCTTGCGCTCCGGCCACATCTCCTTTATACAACATGTGCCCTGAGTCGTGGCCTGGGCACTGTAGAAGCAGCTGGCACAAACCCAAACTCTATTTTTGTAGCAGTGTTTCTCCTTGCATTTGAATTCACCTAACTGATGCCAGGCTGTGCGTGTGTCTGCTCTTCCACCACCGGCAGCATGCCTGATCACACCTCAAACTGTTAGTTCTTCATGTCAGGGACACTCTCCTACGTATTCCTATAGCACCTTGCACAGTAGGGCTTTAAGCTCAGTTGGAAGAAAGCAGTGCAGAAGAGCCCTCACCAGAAACAGCAGCAGCAGAGTTAGCAAGCACTTGATTCAATCGTCTGAACTTTCACAGCTGTAAATGAAGCAGTGAGGTTTCCTCAGGCATTCCCCTTTTGTTTGCTAGCTGGAAGGCACTGGGCAGGTTTTCAGTCTGACATTCCCATTCCTGCTCCTGGGCTTTGAGGAGGCCAAGATGCACAATGGCTGGCATCCAGACTCAGGAAGACAGACTAACTACTGGTGCTGGTACAAAGCTGAACTGCAGTGCATGTGGGTACAGAAAAGCAAAGTTGCTTTAAAATTTCCTGTCTCTTTGTAGGCATTGTCCCCTCTGCCATGTGAAGTTTGTTGTACAACAACTGGCTGTCCAAATATTTACCATTTTCCCAGCTCTGCTACGAGCATCTAAAAGAGTATAGGCCACCAGAGAGTCCTCTGCATTCAAGTGGCCCTCTCCGACCTACTTCTATCATCTCCAATTCATGCCAGCTAAGCTCCAGAGCTGGCTTTCTTTTCTAAAGTGTCAAATTCCACTTTGTCTCCTGGGGAGGCCCACAAATCATGCTCCTAAACAAACAAAACCTAGTTGATTATTGCCAGACAAGAGAAAAAAAAAGGAAAAATGCTGAAAAACTCAATGGAGGAAAGGCTCAAAGAGCTTGCATACCTGCAGTGCACAACAATGGGTCCTGCTTCTGGGGGATTGAGAAACTTCACTTGACGAACGAAGCCCAGGAGGCCCGTGGCATAGCAAGGAACCCCGTGGTCTGGCCAGCTGGTGAAGTGGAACTGCCGAATCTCTCGGATCTCATGGTAGCCTTTCTGAGGAGACAACACAGCCTCTATTTCTCTTCCATCAGACTGCAATCAGCACATTCTGATCACTGCTCCTTTCCCTCGCGCACAGGGCTGAACAAGCATTTAGCTCTCGTCACACACAGGAACATGTCCCGTGCTTTCCATTCTGAGAGATTTCAAGCCAAACTCCAATTACAAATGAAGTAGGTAACACACAGCTGAGGACTATGAAGGTAGACAACAGCTCCCAATTCAAACCTGTTGTCTTAGAGTTCAAACCCAGTTGATTAGGAACCTTACAGGGTGACTTCAGCCCCAGCATACTATGGTTGCATTTATCCAGCCTCCTTTGGTGTTACTGCCATAAACCACCAAGAAGTCACTCTTAAATCCTTTCTGAGGCATTGAAGAAACAGTCTGGGGAATGAACATCTAGAGAGTGGGCATGCCCCAGGCAATGGTAGATTTTCTGCCATCGCCTGCCAAAAAAATCTCAGTTTGAGATTATAGCTGGTGGTGAAAAGGGCAGAAACCCATCACTTAGCTTTTCTGCTGAGACTGGTACATGAAAATTGACACCACTTGTGTTTGTCCTGCAAAGGGTAACACAGAAGTGGCAGTTAGGTGTGACGTATTGAGTACAGGAAATGTAGGTGGAATCCAGCAGCAGGTCCTCTAACCTGCCAGATTTTGGCATTTCTTACCAAGTTTTTCGGTAATTTAATGTAATATGGAGCTGATGTATTAGAAAACTGGAATAATATTCCCAGTGTGGCTGAAGTTCATTTAGCAGGAATTTTTGAAAAGTTTTAAAACAACTTACTATGTGCTTGGAGAGTAATTTGGACAGACCTGGAATGCTCTGACACTTAGACTTTCAACTTTGAATTACAAGTAACAAAAATCTTCCAAATCCAGTTGATTTGGTGATAATGTTTATACTCTTGTCTTTACTGTATTTTTATTTCTGTTGAAAGGGGACCCCATCTGGCATCCAGTTTAACTTTTTTTCATTTGTAATTTGCCACTGTGGAACATGACAGTTGTTATTCCTGCTATATCATCAACTATCTGATGGCTTCTGGATGCATTTAAACTTCATGTACTGTGGGTTCTACTTTTGTGGCTACATCAAGATGTTCATGCAAAATCATTTGTCCAAAATTGGAATCTCTGTCAAAAAATCAGGTTTCTGAAGTGAAACCTGTCCAAATAGTAACAGCTCCCATCTCAAACAGCATTCTGGATATGTTTCCCAGGGTTCACATTCTGAAAACAAATTAAATGTTGTATCAAAATTTCAGCTGACTGAATATTTCCTTACCTTTTGTACAGTAAATGTGCGTATGACATACTCTGCCAACGGTTCTGTCTCAATTAATGTGACTTTAATATCTCCATAGACCTCTGTGTCATCTGGCCAGTATCGAACACACTTTACCTGGGGGGGAAAAAAGAAAATATTGAGAGCAACTAGCTCAAGTTGAGTCAGAGATGACCTACATTTTACTCCACTTTCAAGCTGAAGCCAATGCAAATTGGGCTTTCTTCTGATGCACAGACCATGTCAAAATTAACTGTATAAATTAGATCAAACTTCCTTTACAATATATAGAAACCACAGGGAGGATTCTTTTCAGTTCCCTCTGTTGTGAATACAAATGAAAAGCATGCATTTAGCTCCTCTTCTTTAAGATAGTCTTCCTTACACTTCCATACCTGCCCTGGCCACATATCAGATTTACAGAATACCTGGCAGCCACAACCACCATCCCCTTTGAGAAAAATCTATGCTCTTGATATTGCTACTGTAATTCTGAATTCTGTTTATCTAAAGAATTTCAGTTCATAGGGATTGTGACATACTTGTCGATACCTTAATTTGTTTGACTCTAAGCTTTCCTTATCAGATGTGGATACAAATTTGACATTTTACCAGCTGTGACAGGCCTCGGCTAAGGCTCAAGGAAGAAAACTCCTGATCATGTAAACATATCCCAAGCTTTGCTGCTTCTAGAAGCCATGTGCAAAACTAACAGTAGAAATCAAAGCCAAGGCTGTGAAGCTCTAGAAGGGATATTTAGGCTAACAACAACTATAAAGTTATTAAGTGCTCTAGCATGAAAGGGTGGAACAACACCTAAAAGCTGAAGCAATTAGCTTCTGTGAAGCAGTTTCATGTTCCAGTTCCAATCATAATCAGAAGGGGTTTTATAAATATTAAATATGATTAATGTAGGTTTGTTGGGTTTTTTTACACAGAGGCATTTATTCTAAACTGAAGTGTCAGTAGAAGGTAAAATAGAATAAATAACAATAAATGAACAGAACCAGCTGGCATTCAACCATGAGATCTAAAGGAAATCAAATACAAAGCAGCTAAATTACTAATGGCTGTGAGCAAACTATCATTTAAATTTTTCTTAGTACCAAAGCAACAGAAGGTGACAAACGTCAGGACTGGATTTTCAAGAGCTCATTTCTGGCTGAGAATGTCTCTAAACCAAAAACCACCAGAAGCAGAAAGAATATTCTGGGGAAAGCCACCCAGACATGCCTTTTTCTTATTCCCTGAAGTTTAGCCTATGCTTTTTCAGTCATTCATATTCACTCCCATTGTGGGCTTTGACAAATGCCTTGTGCTGACACAAGGCCTGCTGGTTCATCGGAGCCCAGGAGACTGAAGCAGTAGGTGTTGAGGAGGTCAGTGCTGCTGGGCAGCCCCAGGATCCAGCTGTGCACAATCTCGTGCCCCCATCTTCTGAAGTACTGGAAACTCTAGGCTTTGAACTGCCTTTTAAAGAGCTCTTTGGATAGTTTTATCCCAGTCATAGGTTCTCACCCGTCTGGATTTTTGTGGGTAGAGAAGCATTCAAATGATACAGATAAAGAATAATTATTACAAAAATACATTTTTCCTTCTGTACTGAAAAAGGAGACAGCTTCTCAGCTAGTATAAATTCACATAACTCTGCTAAAGCCCAGACTTACACCAGGAACATGATCCTTATTAGTCTAGAAGGGAAGGAGCTAAGCATTACAAGATCTAGCATTTTAGAGAAAAACCCCGAGTGGCTTAATTCATTCCCTTACTACAGAATAAGCAAAAGTCATTTCACTTGATGATCTTGCCTGAACAGCAGCACTGTGTTATACCCAGCATTGGTTTGGCTTTATATGTTGGGAAAGTGGTAGCCTTACCCTGCCCACTTCCACCAAGTTGGTGACCATGACAACACTTGCAGAATTTTCTTGCCAAATCATTCTCCAGAAATCCTTCACTGTCTCTTGCATTGGCCCTGGGCAGGAGGAAAGACAAAAGGAGATCTTGAGAGAGTGTATCAAATGCCAACAACTTTTTCAGCTGTTCCCCAGACATTGCTCTGTTCCCACAGGATCCTACTTCTCCCTTTGAGAGCATCCCTCTGTGATTCAGGGTTACAGATCTAGAACAGCCCAGAGATCTCTGAGGGATCAGACATCTCATCCTTCCTTGCAGTAGGTATTTTAAGGTTCTATCACCCTGGAAAGAGAGGTGATGGCTCTCTATTGCACATAGTGGAGATAGTTCCAGTAGGTAATCATGTGTAGGCGGTGGGACATGGATGCAACCTATAGATAGTCTGTAATTAAGGCTGTATTGATATTTGTACCTGATGCTGCACCAAAATTCCTCCATTTCACATTTTAATATTTTTTAATTATGAAGGAGGAAGGAAACATGCAGAAATTAGTCCTTTTCTGAAGTTCTTCCAGAGAGAAAAATTTCAGGTTCCAACAGCCAAACAGCCAGCACTCACAAGAGATTTATTAGACTAGATCCTCACTCCAACCTTGTTTTCTTCCTCTCTTCTACATTGTAGATGAAATCCTCCCATGGACTCCATTCATCCACTCTGCTCATACTCCATCCTCCATGTTCTCTGCCTTGCTGCACTCCCTATATCCACACATCTTCAAACGCCAGTTTTATTCTAATATGTTTCTGTACTGTTTCAACAGGGACAAGCCAGCAATGAAGTCATAAAGTAGAATTTAAGAATGGAGTAATTTCTGTGAACATCACCTCTTCAGGTAAGGAATGCACAAAAATGACAAATAATGGTTGAAGAATTGGTCATGGCATAAGAGTTTGGCCAGTGATGCAGAAAAACAGTATCCTACTGTAAAGAACAGGAGGAGGGAGGTTTGTCATCTAATAGGAATAGCCCTCAGCATTGAATTGTGTTGTGTTTTTTTTTTATTTTCTGTTTGTTTTCCCTAAAGACACAGGAAACTCATCAACTAGCTTACAAAAGGTGGTGTTCAAATGCATTTCCTACTAGTTCCCACTAATCTAAAGTTCATCAGTCACAGGCTTATTCATACTGCTCCCCTCAAGCTATTTCACTCTAGAAGGTAAACCCAAGCTCCATAAAGTCCCTTTTAGTTCTAATCTCATACTTCATGCACAATGGATACATTATAGATTGTGCTGCCACCTCTAAATCTGTAGCATTTTTTATTCTTGTAGCTGAGGTTTTGCATTTGAGTGCCTTAAAGATCTTGGAACATCCTTTATCTTTTCCTTTTGTGCCCCTATACTAAGTTTTCAGACATTCCCCAAAAGAGAAGATGTCACCCTATAAATAACGCTTACAACAGTTTGAAACAGCAGTGTTTTAGACATCCAAGAATGAACTTGCCTTGAGTTGCAATGTAATGGCGAGGCCGGTGGTATCCCTGGAAAAAAAAAGAAAATATGTGACAGTCTGTGAGATGGCAGTTCAGTCAAAGCACACCAGCATGTATTTTATACTCTCCAGGTACTAACAACTGCTGTACTCTTAACAGTGTACTGGTTATTGAATGAGTGAAGACAGGCAGCTAGGTTGCCCTGTATTTTAAGTGACGATATCTTGCTCAGGCTGCATAATAAGATCTCATTATGCCAAAGAGAAAACAGGAATGGGGCAGTTTTCACTATTTCCTCAAAGAAACATGAGTTCTGTCACTAATCTGTGGGCAACTCTAAAACCTAATAGGCAAAATGTTGGACCTGCTTGTTTGAAAAAGAAGAAAGGTGTGGATTTGCCTCTGTATGAAAATGCTGCATATCAGTCTTATGTAACTTTATTAGGTGTATTTTTCATCTCTTAAAGAAACTCTTCTGAACATTGTCATGTTCCTAAGAATTAGGAGTTGCATACAAGAAAAGCGTGTTCATTTGATCATTCTGTGTGTGTGAGGGAGGCTGCTTTTTGAATGTTATTTTGTAACACTAAAAAAAACATGTCAATCTATTTACACGCCTTCTGCACTGCAACTTTCTAAGAAGTCGGTAAGTCTCAGATATCTACCAATGCTATTGTGAGGGGCTGATACTGATTACTGCATACGTCATTTAGCCCACATTCCACTTATGTTGGCGGATCTGTCAAACATAGGAAATCTCCATCTGTCCAGATTGGTCAGACAGAATAAGCTGGAGACCGAGAACCTTCTCCCTGTCACAACACAATGTTCGTATAATGTTCAGCTGTCATTCATATCAGCTCAACAGCCTGTCCCTGTGCAAGATGCACCAAAGCCATAAGCAGACTTGTCAGCAGGAGTGTGTGTCATAGCAGGAATGTCCAGCAGCCTTACGTCGATGTAATTGGCGTTTATGTAGTCAGAGTGAGGGTCCCCATCCAGCAGTTGCAATCTCACTCTTGAATGATCATCTGAAAGAAGTAAAGAAAAAAAAGTGACAGTAACGATAAAGAGGACTTTGTAAGTGCTTCATTTTATCTGCTAATTCCACCAAGTGGGTAACTGAATACTTACAATAGAAAATGAAAGAATATCAGAGGTATTCCTGTTCTTACAAGCCCTTTCTCTTTTGTTTAAGATGCAACATCTAGATCCTTATGTTACTGTTCATTCATAATCTGTGTTCATTAAATTCACTGCTGTCACCATAACCCTTACAGACCTTTTACACAGACCACAAACGTTGCCTGGTTGGGGGGTCTCAGGACAGACCTTTGCAGAAAGTATCTCCATTACAAAAGCCACCTTCATGCTTGGAAGTAACAGCCTCCCTGGATTCATCTGATCTATGGAAACTGAGGCAAGAGCTAAAACTGTTCAGATAAGGATAAAAATAAATAGGTCACAACAGAGGGACAGAAGATTAAGGAGGGTAAAATGGCAAATGAGAAATGAGAGAACCCAGAAACCTGAAAGGAAATGCCAAAGGAAATCACATCAATGCTCCTTTGTGCCACCCACAGAACTCACAGCAGCAAAACAGCATCAAGGCAGTGTTAAAAAAAAAAAAAAAATTAGAAATGTTCATGTTTTTTAGGATGTTCAACTTTACTTTAGATAAGGCAATAAAATAACAGATATTGATCTTTCCATCTCCCAGCATGCTCTACAGTTCAGATGCAGAAAGGAACTACCCCAGCAGGCAGATTATGTCATGATTTTCCACAAAGAGAATATTTTGTTCTTTCTCTGGAAGAGCTGGTGCTGAGCTCTGTCACAGGAGATACTGCACGAGCTGGGCTCTTGAGCTGATTTGGTCTGGCAATCCCAGCACTGGTATGCAATTAATTGCAGAACAGCTTGGCAAAGGCTACTCGGTTACAGAGGTCACTGCTGGGTGTACTGGGCTCATTTTTAAAGGATTTTTAGAAGAAGTATAATATAGAGTCTATCAAGTTTATTTCCTCTCTACCAGCTCTGTAGACCCTAGCTTTATCAGTAAAGCATTAATGCTTAGAACCACTTTACAAAATACAGGCCTAAGCATGATTTACATTCAATTAAAAAGAATTATAGCAATGAAACGTAAAAATATGAGGTGTGATTCTGCAGTAACTCAGTCAAAAAGGATTTTAGTTATCACTTAATTAAATGTAGAATCAGATAATAATTGTGAAGACAGATGTGCACGCAGTTCTGAAAACCAAGACCTGGACATATATTAAATAATCATTCGGTTAGGTAAAGCAATGATTCTCATACTCTGCTCATTCTTTGGGTGAGATTTTCATAACCAAAAAATACAACCACATTTCTGCATTAATCAAATCCCATATTTGTATTCAAAAAGGGTTACACAGGTGAATCCATCAAAAGCTCTGTTATATTTGTATTAATAAATATAACCTTTGTAGGCGCAGTGGAAGTAGGTATATTTCTCAGAGTGCTGATGTTGTCCCCAACTCTAGACAATTACCTGCGCTCAAGGCAACTGCACTAGGAGTTGCAGTAAATCATGTGGTTAGACAGACAACAACAGAATTTATACTTAGAGCAATTCACAAAGACAGACAAAGAGCTGATTAAAGCGGACTTCTAGATGAAATACACAAAATCTCCTGTAGACGATTTCACACTTGCAATTCAAGGCAGCAAACTAAGCTACTTAAGAATCACACAAAGCAAAAGCAAAGAAAAAACCCCTAGAGCTAATGGTTGTGAGGGGAACATTTGCTAACTCCTCTTGTGATGTCACATTATAATAGTGCTATGAAAGTCTTAACTTATTGCAACAACAGAACTAAAAAGTGACGACACAAAAAATGACCCTAATGGCAGGTGAAAAGAATCTCAGGTTGATTTTTTTAAGTTGGACAAAGACATTGTCTATGCACGGTGTGTAGCTGAAGTTCTCTGAACAGCCCTCCAGGAAGAACCTGATTCTCTTCATTTAATAGAACCGAACCCCACAATTAAGTTTCAGCTCTTTCAGTGACTCTTTATTTCAAAACTTAAAACAGATAGGATGAATACCTCCTGAGGGAGCAAGATATGAAAGACCTGAGATGGAGATTGCAGAAAAGGTCTATGCATTTAAACAATTATGGATAAAGAAAAGATGCTCTGTAGCTGTAAAAAGTGTTGTTGTTTTTACCCTTTAATCTACATATGGTTATTTTGTCTGTGAAGAACAGTAACAGATGAGGGAAGGACCATTGTAAATTAATGATATTCTTTAAAAAGGTGACATTCAGGTTTAGGTCTAATTATATTTTAGGACCAAATGAAAAATACTTTTAGTTGAATTTTGCTTCAGGAGGACAGAATTCACAATATTTCATTGCATATTTTACAAAAATTACATTAATTCCTGTGGGAGATTTCCTCCTCTTATGAGTGTGAGCAGTGCAGCAGAAAAAAAATGTGTGTATATGGTAAGCACCCAAAATATTAATGATGTCTTAATAGTGTCTTTAATCTTGTTCATAAGTTTAGGAGCACAGTCTGAATAAAAGTTCATGAAATAACTTACTTTGTAAATCCCTTTTTCCCCCGAACTTAGGAATTTATCTGGCTTTTTTTTTCTCAATGGAGAGAGGAAAAAACTAATGCAACTTGTTACACTACTAACAGTAATGATCTCGTACTTAGTCTTTTTCATCTACAGACTTTAAATGACTTTTTAAAGAACAGAAAATGCCTTCACTATACCTTTTCCCAGTGGTCAGAATTTATTTCTGATTCTGCACCCTTTCCACTGGGCTACACTAGCCAAGGAGGCTACATATTTTTCATACTGAAATAAGTGTTTCTCATCTTTTCTGTAAATTTATCAGACATCATATCATGCTGTGTTACAAACGGATTATAAGAAACTTTAAAAATGGAGGAAGAAACAAAAGAAAAATTGCATTCAGGAATGCAAAAAATGGAAATATACTTTAACAAATGTATAAATGATTTTATTTCTCCCTGTTTACTATAGTCTGTATGCAAGTTATCAGAACTCTAAATTTGTATGAAGAGTACTTTGTCTCAAAATTGGTCTTAAAACAGATTTAAAAAATGACAAGAATTTCACTGAAAAGCATTGTGCTCCCATTTTAGCACAAAAACGTTATCGCTTCAAACTTCTGTCAAAATTCCCATTAGTGATCATTTGAAATATCACTGCAATTTTTCCATATCCCATTCTGGCACCAGCACTGGATTAATCTCACACAACTTTCGCCATCTAAATATTACGCAGCTAGTCTAAACTGGCTGTCAAGGTTCCCCACATAGTCAATGGAGAAATACAGACATCTTTTGAAAGGATTCAACCCAGTTCTGGCATGAAAAGATGTTTTTCCTTCCCAAGGCACACTGTCCTCCCCTCTCTCTTTTCACTGGTCCTGGCCTGTGCCTTGAGAACTGGGTAACAGAGCGGTGTGGTACATCCCACCCTCTCAGGATCATGTAACATGGACACTGAACAGATAAGCAAGAGTTTAGGCACTACAGGAGAAACCATGGAATAAAAATGCCTTGAAGTCAAAAGACTCCTATTCTAAATCCAATAAATCCAAGTGACATATGTTTTTTTTTTTTTTTTTTATTATTAATATTTTACGCATTATCTCTGTCCATGGCCAATTGCACTCCACCAGTGTTTCAGCTGAGAGCTCCACTAATCTCTGTTGTTCATCTCTTCCACCACAAAATTCTCCAATTAATTCACAGTCTTCCAGCCCAAAGTATATGGTAGTCAGAGCATGAAGGAAATGAAGCAAATTTCTCTACAGTCTTTTGTCATCAACTCAATAGCTTTTAATGGACCATCAGAAGACTTTAAAACCATGGTGCCTAAGTGGGAAGATGCTCCACTGCAGATGGGAGAATGTGTCTAAAGTAGCACCAGTACAAGCACTCCTGTGAGTGCTGACCTCCTCCTGTAGTATTATGTTCAATAAAGGGAGAAAAGAAAGCAAAACCAAGTGCTCTCCTGTAAGTCAAAACAAAACACAATCCTGTATATTTATGTCTTCAGCTCTCATCTGAGAGTTTTTACTCTCCCATAAGGTAATTGTTCTAAATCTGGACAAGATGGGGAGAAATAGAACCAAGGTCCCGTAGAGCTTCTGGATGTTTTCTCTATATGTAATGGGTTCAGCTCAATCCACAAAAGCTCAACAAGCCTCCCCAAACAACCACCTACTGATGCGCTTTGAAGGCCTCAATATCTAGTCCTTAAATCAAATTTAAATCATCTCACTTCAGCACATAAATGGATACACTATCTACCCCTGCTCCTTAAAGAAAAATCTCGCATCTCCATAACTGTCTTTGTGTTTACAGCTTTTATACCCAAAGCACAGGAGCAAAGCTCACGGACTCAGATGTAATAAAAATTTCAAGTAGGATATCTTCATCCAGCATGGGAAACCTGTGCAACTACACTGCATCTTTCCACCATCAACGGTGGATTTTTGTGGTCATACAGACTCCAAATCCACTACTCAGCTTTTCCTTTTTTTCCAAAAAACATACCACTGTTGCAGATTGAAGGGGACCCTGAAAAGCAGGGGTTTAAAAGCATGGGAGACCTTAGAGCTCTCTTGCATCTCCTCTCCATGAACAGATTAGCCTCATCTGCAGTTTTGGTTTGCAAATGTAAGAACAGCAGATGTTGGGGCTGGCAGTAAGGTATAGGCTTTCATAGGGAGGCACAATGTTAATACAGCCCTGGGAAGCAGTGAGCTGAGTAAAACAGTCCTGTAAGTGCACTATTACCCAGAAGGCCATAAAGACAAGATCTAATCTTCTGTGATTCACGGAGCAATGCTACTTATTGCAAGAGCTTACAAATCCACATTTTAACAAAAGTCTCTGAAGCAGTTACAAAAGTTAGATCAAAACCTGACTTTTCAACTCACTCCCCAAAAGGCATGGGGTATCTTGTTCCAGGAATGATGAAATGGCAACTATGGCTAAATAAAGAATGTTAATTGCCATCTGCAGCCTTTTACCAAATAAGTTGGTAGGAGCAATCAGTGCATACTCTGGGTTTTAACAGCAGTTACAATTCTATCAGAACAAAGCAGCTAAGGGTGCAATTGTTTTCCACCTCCCCTCCTTTGCTCAGGCTTTTGCACAGTTCATACCCTCTGAGCACAATTTGTTTCCATGATCTGCCCAGAGGGAACTACTCTCCTGCTATTCTCAGCAATGCTATCAATTCTCTATTCTGGATCCTGTCGTTATCCATCAGCAGGGCCTGGCTCAAAGCTTAGCCAGTGACACTATTGGTAATTTCCCAGTGGTTTTACAAAATGTCTGATGAATGATATGCTCCTTCCTTAGGCATCCTCCCTTCCTTCTCTCTACTCTCTTCAAAGCGAAGCACGGATTTCACCCCATTTTATTGTTCTTTATTGCACATTACTAAATTCTCCTTGCTGTCTTCTGGAAGAGCTGTTGTCTCATCCTTAAACTATTGATTCTGATACATACTTGAAGTGAAGAAAACCCACTCAACTTTTTTTCCTTCAACTCTTCTGTATCCTTCCTCTCTTCCACTACCTTAGCTTTATCTATGCCTTTCCACCCTTTCAACCTCACTCATTCTGAAGTCTTTCCCAACAGTCCTCAAACTTGAGATTATTTTCTGATGTTCTGTAAGGTGCAAATACTTCTTCCTTAGCTTTGATTACATTTTGTGTTCCCTTATTCAAGCGTATCACCCCCTATCTGTATTGCTACTGTATTTATATTTATAGCTAAAAGGCTAACGTCACTCTTAGTTAGACAGCAATTAATCTTTGTGAACACCTTCCCTTTAGATAATACCCCATTCATCTTCCTTGATTTTGCTTCCTTAATTTCTTCTCACATATCACTTTGAGTTCAACGTTTTCTTTGTGTCCATCTTCAAAATAAATTAGATGGTGGCTACTGCACACACTTTTGTCTCTTTTCACCTCCACTTTTACATTATGTCAACTGCTTCCTCAAAGTCATACAGAGAAACCAAGGTTTCCTTCCTTATATCACACTATGGAACTTTCATCTTCAATCCAGTGTGTAGTTGTTACAGCTGGATGATTCATCTGTCTTAGACTACTTTAATCTAAGCTAATTGTATAGATAGGTAAATTGAACCTCTGTCTGGAGGGATCTCTCTTTGCCAACAGGAACACAGGGAACTTACAGTGAGGTGGAGCTTTTAGGCAGCTGAAGTTAAGGGAGACCATCACACTAACTGTAATACTCCAGTACTACCGCTTCCATTTTCCACATGGAGAAACAAAGACTGATAGAACTGGTGACCTGCTCACAACCAACACAGAAAGCCATCAGCAGAACTGGGGTCACATCAAGGCTCACAAACTTCTGATCTTCAGTTCCAGATTTCTTCATCTTTACCATGGGGTCCCTGAACTGAGCTGTTCTATGACATCCCCACACAACTGCTACATGAATCATTTCTTTCAAGTCTTAAAAGAAATCGAGGAGTAGTTATGTATTAGGTGAACTTTCTTTGTGGCCAAGGGGTTTTTTTAATTTTTTTAGTAAAGTCTGTTTGTTCTACAGGAAATACATATTTAACCTGAGAAAAAATACAGCACTAAACATATTACTCAGTGTGACTTAATTTTGTTCTTCTAGTGTTCTACAGATTTATTTAGACATTAAAACCTATGGCACATTCATTTATATTCTTTTTTCTTGTTCTGATGGATGGTCTCAGGCCTACCTTCTCCAACTTGATGCTGCTCAGCAGACTTTGAAAGCAATTACTTCTCACACCTCCTTTCCCCAGTCACTATAAGGAATAATGAAACACCAGGGTAAACTGCCTGGAGAGCTTGTGGGAAGCTCAACTTTGGAGATCATTAGGAAAAGGATTCACAAATATCTGACAAAAATGACAGAGGTGAACCTAGATCTGACTTGGAGAATAAAGCTGACCTAAATGGTTTTATGGAGACCTTCACTGCCCTGAAGTTCTGCAGTATATCAATATTCCTATAACATCAACAGTAATTGGTTGTTGAAAGAAGTAAAACTAAAAAGCTTTAGTGCATTTTCAGGTGCCTTATTGTATTTTTGAGGCAGAAGCTAAGCTTGACCCACACTTCAAACCATCTCTCGAGGGACATGCAGTGACTGCTCCACTGGTTACTGACCACAAGGAAGGAAAGAATCTGATCTCTGATCCATATCTAAAAAGCAGATATATCTGCATCTCCCTTTGTGCTCCCATTCGTGGCACTGAAAAGTCTGCTTATGTACTAAAAATGAACAGAAAATGGGCATCATCACCCACTGCGAAAATCTGACAAAATGATTTAGCCCTTAAATTACAAACTTTAAGCACAAAGCAAGGTAGAAAGTAAATGTGTAAAAACTGTAGTCATACAATGACTTTATGTAAAACAATGAAAAAAAAACATAAATAAAAAAATCGTAGAAACACAGCCTGTAACAAACAGATTGAACTACTGAATGCTCAGCATTGTAAACCAGCTTTTAGTGAGATTCTCAAACGCACCCTTTTCCACAGGATGCATGTAAAATCTTACAGAAAGCTCAGTTTAATGTGAATTTACACCTACAGGAGATTATGTTTCCATATCTGTTCTTATTGCGGTTTTCATCTTCCTTGGCTGTATCCCAGGATGCCGTCTGCCCCTCGGGTAGTGCCTGCAAAATAAACAATAGTGGAGTGTTTATAAAAATCTGGCCAATGCCTTCAGGTGGATTAAGATGACTGAGCAGGGCAAAAATAAAGGTGCTGCATAATTCAGCAGTCAACCAAGCAAACAGCTGTTCTTGAGGAAAGGGCACATCCCCCAATACAAAAAGCAGAGCTTGGTAAAGCCATTTGCATCTCCTGGCTTTTGCCAAAGAAGAATAATTTTCCTCCTGCTACTTCAGATCTAAAAGGATCTGGGGAATTTGTTTCTGACTGCACAGTCACAGGTTAATCTCATTTCCCCTGTAGAACACAGTTCGTGGAGATTTCACATACATACACTTCTAAGAAAACCCAGATGGCTGAAACATAGTGCTCAGTCTTTCTTATTTAAGCTGAAAACAGATACAGCAGTTTCACTTATTCCTATATATCAATAACAGGGTGATCCAATACAAACCACTAGCTGTTTTTCTTTGGGGAAAAAGGAAAGCTCCAGGTTTTAGCTCATGTGGAAGGAAGAGAGGCAAAAGGAGGTAAAACACGCTTATGAAGTAGGAATAGTCATTTTCCTAAAATCTGTTAGTTGAGAAAGGAATGGGTAAGGAAACTGGCAGCACACCGTGCTACCCTACCCTACAGCTTGGCCCTACAGCTTTTCTGAACACACTCAAACGAGGCACTTTCCCCTTGAGACACATCCAGGAAGGATTTTCAAGGCAGAGCCAGGAGAACGGCAGTTGTCAGGGGTCTTGCCCTCCTTGGAAGATGGCCCAGCTGCCGTCAGCAGGACGATCCCGCTCCCTGTCTGCGGTCGGGCGGGGATGTCAGCACAGGCCGAGCGCAGCAGCGGGCACAGCAACAGCCGCGGCACCGGCTCCCTGGGGACCAACCCGGGGGGGGTGTCACAGCTGGACGGAAAGCCACGACCTGCAGACCACAGCTGGATGGAAAGCCACGACCTGCAAACCACAGCTGGGCGTTAAAGCCACAACCTGCAAACCACAGCTGGACGGAAAGCCACGACCTGCAAACCACAGCTGGGCGTTAAAGCCACGACCTGCAAACCACAGCTGGATGGAAAGCCACGACCTGCAAACCACAGCTGGGCATTAAAGCCACGACCTGCAAACCACAGCTGGGCATTAAAGCCACAACCTGCAAACCACAGCTGGGCGTTAAAGCCACGACCTGCAGACCACAGCTGGATGGAAAGCCACGACCTGCAAACCACAGCTGGGCATTAAAGCCACGACCTGCAAACCGCTGCTGCCGGCCGCAGCCAGCCTGGCCTTCACTTGGGCCAAAATAGGAGAACAACGGCTCCCAGTGAATCACCCCTATAGATCTGCCTCCTCCAAGAGCTGCTCCCTAACATGATCCAACATCACTAAAAACAACAGCAACATTATAAACTGTATTATTTACGGTCCCTGCAGACTTACGGAGTTTTTATACCACAATCATTGAAGACTCGTACCTGCCTTAGCTAGCAGCATGTAGTTTGACACAGCTGTGCTAGAAAAGGAATTTATATTCATCTTCACAAACCATCCAGGTCTATTACAGTGCCTGAATGCAATAGCAGAGAGACACAGTTATTAGGATCTACAACACTGACATTACAATTAAACTTAATATGAGCAAACCCTTGGCAGAGCAGATCGCTGTGAATTTCCCCCAAAGGGGTTCCAGGACAAGAAAATGTCAGGCACTGCAGCGCTGCCACGAGTACTGCTGAAAAAGACAGGGACAAGGAGCTCCTACTCAAAAGCCCAGGAGAAAGAGTAATAACTCTGTAATTGGCAAGGGCTTTGATCACACATATATTTCCTTTACAGACGGCTGTTTCCAAATAGCAGCTCATCTCCTGAGCAAAAATACCCCAACCAACAAACACACACATGACAAAAAAAAGTCCGAGTAAAAGAAAAGAGGTGAGGAAGGTTCATTTTCATCTTCAAAGACTGAGGAAAAAGGTGCCTTATTTTTCCACTAATATCAAATTACAGCAGATTGACCAGAGAATGGCAACAGTCATTAGATATCTAATCATAGCCATCTGAAAAGAAAAAAAAAAAAGAAAATCCTTTCTCATGACTTCCACGTCGGAGAAGCTATCTTGGTCAAAGAAAATGCATTCAGGTCCAATAAATCCCTTTTCAACAAACCCTATCCTTTCATGTGATTTGAACATGAAATTCTCCATTGAGATTGATGTTTTTATATTTGCCTGATATAGCCTCCAAAGATTTAAGAGTCCAGGGTTTTTCTTCTCATTCAATACCAAGAAATCTCTGCTTTTCACATAACTATCCATCTCTGAAGAGAGGAAGCACAGCTCTGGTTGGTAAGGAACACAAACTACCTTAGCACAGGTGTACCTTGCAACCCTACTTTTATACACACCAGATGAACAAACTGGAGTAACTGAATGTACACAGGTGGTACAGCACAAATAATTTTTCTGTGAGATCACTAAAAATGCAGCACCAAGTATTGAAACTACATTAGAAGTACAAAGGCAAAAATAACAATTATAAATTGGTTGTATCCAGAAAAAAGAGGAGCATACCTAATGTTTTGTTCCTTCAGTTTTTGTTTATACAATAAGTATCTCTATAATAGCAAGAAGGGTTATTATTTCAGTTTCTCTCTACATTATCAGAAATGGTAAATCTGGATAGATAGATCACTGAGGCATTGGTATGTGGTCCACATTTCACAGGAAATGTTTCCTCTTATTTCTTTGATTTGTTAACAGCAAAATTTAAGTGTTCAGAAATCTGCACTTGATTTTTAGGCTTTTCATACTTTTCTTCTTCTAGAAAAGTTCTGTAAAATTTATACTGAAATATCTTCCCTGTAGTGGAATTTATGTGACAATGATGCTTTTTAAACTCAAATGATCTAATTTTTATCTGAAATTACAAGGATAGATCTCTAAAAGTCAGCTTCATCTCAATCAAGCTTTCTAAGCACCACAGCCCAAACATAACTAAACTGTTCACATTAAATTGAGGCTTATTGCAAGCCAATTTAAATTTCCGATTGATGCATTTAGTTAGTTTGCTGTTTGTTTTTAATTTAAATACGAAAACTTGAATCATTCATCTGCACTGATCTACCCCAATGCTGCAATATTGCTGCCAAAGGCAACGACATCAATTAAAAACCTTGCCGCTCATCTCAAAGTGTGCCACAGAGTCCTGGCCTCTCCCTGCAGTCTCTGTCTCCAACACCGGTGGCAAAACTCTTCCCACAACTCTGTTGTGACCCAGGGTTAAAAACTGCTTTGGCTAAAGAAAAAAAAAATAACTTGAAAAGAAATATTTCAGCCAGTTCACTTCCCCGTTCTGGTTCGTAGCAAAGCCTTAAGCCAGCATTGCCCACAGACAGCATCTACAGTAACACCCTGTGGCCACACACTTTGCAATGGCACATCACAGCCTGAACCACAGGATCTATTCTTTTGACCAGATAGATGTACTGCCAGCCAGAAATGGAAGGGTTAAAACCCAGAGATGACATCAATAGACTGGAGACTCTCAACACTACGATGCTTGAGGAAGGAGCCACAAAATCCAAAATAATTAAATGGTCTCAGTAATACAGCAGGAAAATGTACTTTAGTGACATCCTAAATCATAATGGAAAATTAGTTTGGATCCTTAAACTTACTGTCTCTATAGGCAGTAACTGGTGCTCGCAGTAAGCCTGTGGGACCAGTTTGTCAGTGCACAACAAATCAGGGCTGGTACGTTCTGAAAAAGGAATCGGTGACACTTAAATGTGTCCTGTTTACACGTTTACAGCTATGCCTAATCCCAAATAGTGCTATCTACATCCAGTGACAGTGATAGATTTTCCTCTTGTGGTCTACACATTTTATTGCTGAACAGAAGCAGCAGCCAAAAAGGCCCAAGTCACATTTTGGCCTCAGGTGCAGCAGGCAGACCCAAATAACACACACGGCAAGTGCTGACAGATTCCCACGCGCACGCACACACGCAGTTATCATCCATTTCACACCAGCAGTGACACCACTTACACAACCACATCCTGCGTTTCATCTCGGTGTGGAGTTACATGCAAGATGCAAGCACCAGAAATATTTTTCTAGATGCCCTCTGTAAAACATGCTGCCTGTGCTCTAATGGTCTGTAGGTGAAGGTATACTTTAAACAAATACTGAATGCCGTCTCCAGGTTACTCTGTGAAGATGAGAATGTACAGAGAAAAGAGATTGTCATGTGTGACTGATACATTCTGTTCAAAGTGATTTTTCATGTGAGTAAAATTATTTTGTAACATGTCACTAAACAGGCTGTAATTTATGCTATCAATTTGCAAAGTAAGTAGAAAATCAGCTCCTTAGAAGAAAAAACATATTTGGAGGTGACACTGATATTAGTGTATGAAAACATATTTTAAAAGAGACATCAAATTATTTTTGAAGATCTTATCAACCCCTTCTGCAAAATGTTTCGCAGCTTTGTGTTCCTCCAGATTCCAGTCTGAGACACTACTCTCAGCCAACTTAAACCTCCTACCTCCCAGGCGTTGTAACACTCCTTGACATCCTCCCCGCATTTGTGGTATTGCCGGTGGTGCCTGAAAGCTATTTGGAGCTGAAGTGCTGCCTGCGTCCCATGTTCTGAAAACCAAATTCCACCACTGAAAATGACTGCTACTTCAGGCAATTACCTCGGATTGAAGGGTAGAACAGCACATGTGATTTGAGAGCCTGTGGCATTCTCCAGGCTATTTCTTGTGAAGAAAGGAATTATGCAAATCTATATAATGTCATCGTCATTATATACGTATGTAGATAGCACTTTCTGGGAAAGGCAGAACTCGTGGAGCTGAAAGTTGCATTGACATTTTTCATGCTAATGTGCTATTTTGATAATTACCAATGTCAGTGCCAGAAAATTACATATATGCCAGCACCTGTTTTCTTCCTGAACATCACGAACTCGGTCTCAGGGCATCTGTAATTGAGCTGAATGTAGTTCTGGGTACTATTCATGGAAATGGAGGCCAATGGGGAGCTAAGCAAATCTCCTAAGAGAATTATTACCCTTTTCAATATTAAACAGAGCTTTTTATATTGATAGTTTAATTTGAGTGCTTGATTGTGGGGCATGAGTGACTAGACCTGGTTAACATACAGTTACCAGAAACATTTGTTATGACAGTCTTTGATGCCATCTAATTAAAAAATACTCCCTGGTGACAACTACGAAAAGATTGCCTCTCAATTACAGAAAAATCCAGCATCAATGATACAAACCCCATGGACTCTTACTTTCAGGGTGGAAAAGTGAGCTGTTTTCATTAAGTAACTTATTTTTCACAGCTGTTATGTTATTTTTAAGTAGTTTTAATGCCACTATGCATATTAATTGCTTATTGCCTTCTCAAAAACTTACTACATTCATTATAATTATCGCTTGCTAGAGCAAAGTGTCACATATGTTTGATGCTATTTCCCTCTTCTGTTCTCTCTGCTCTAAATGTATATTCCCCTTCCAACTCCTCCCTGATGTCATGTTGCTTCTCGTCACTTGGATTATATTCCTGGTCATTCCATCTTGAGGGGGAGAGGGCTACTTTCATTTTTGCAGCTTCCTCTCTTTGCTTCTCTCCTCACATGGAGCTGGAAGAGTACACCAGTAGAGCATATTCTGAGCCAGAGGCTTGAGCATACTAGAAAACTCCACCTTCATTTAAACTACACAAGCTTCCTGCCTTTACCTTTACAATTCTGTATTCAGGTCATTATGCTGTGAATTAATCTGATGAATTGTTACAGAGTATTTGGAGCTCCCAAAAAGCTCAAGCAAAATCCCTTCCTTTTCTTAATGCCCAGCTTGCACTATTGTCAACAAAAGCACTTCAATAAGTAAGGGACTATGGGACTCCAAGTCCTTCATTGAGTTCAGCACCTGTTAAATATTTACTGTCTGCTCTTTATGGGACAGAAGGCACACGCTAATAGATAAGTACAATGTCTCTATCTTACTGCTGTAGTAAACACCTTTTCTTTGGACTAGAGGGCCACCAAATATTGCTAGCGCTGTAAAATCCTAGCCTCATAAACAGAAATCAGATGGAGAAAGGAAAGGATTAAGAGGGTAAAGGAATTATGGAAAAGAAGCTCTTAAAAACAGTTATTCTCCCCTCCCAAGCATCTATCCTTCGGGAGCGCAACTTCTCTACTCATTCATGTGAGTAAAGGTTCCTCTCACCTCATACTCCTCTTTAAATCCATAGCCCTGTCCTCGCTTCATCTGGGTGATGTGCTGCAGCAGGTCGGCCACTCGGATGGCTGGCTGGAACTGCCCCCGGGGGTAGGACATTTCCACCGGCTCGCAGCTCCGGTACGGGTGGGTCTGGATAGTCAGGGTTGGCTGGGTCATCTCTCCATGGCTACTGTCTGTTTTAAAGACAGGGAGGCAAAACAAGCTTTCACCTATCTGGTATTTCCAGTCTCATTCTTGCTCCTTTTGTTTATTTGTTTCTCCACCACCCCATAGGTTGGTGCAGGCAAAAGAAAGTAAAGAGATAAGTAGGAAACCCACACTTGCCTACAGCTGCCTAGGAATGACTACATCACACTTGAATGGTTTTTGTGTCAAGGATACAAACCCAAAGAAATAGGAACAGAGTAAATAGTCAATCAGGCTAATGAGGATACAGCACATAGAGCAAAATAGCACGTTTTGTAAGATTGAGCTCTGCATAATGACTCCAGTCGAATTACATTACCTTTCTTCACAAACCTGCAAGGAACATGCCTGAAAGATACATACAGATGAGCAAGATATTCAAGCGGGATTTGGGGTGTACAGCATGAGATAGCTGAAAGGGGCCCAAGTTAATATCAAACAAATTATTAGCATTTCAAATAAGCCACACAGGATGTTAGGGGCAAATTAAACCGCTCTGCTAGTTCAGGCCTAAAATTTATACGTCAGTTACAAAGATGTAATTTTATCAGAAATGACAAACCAGCATAAAAATAGAGTCACCATGCATGCAGAAACTTAAATTTCAGATATGTAAACTTTCTTTTTGAAAGAAATGAGTTTAAAAAAATCTCTATCACTAGGCAGATGGACTTGTAACCTCTTATATCCCCAGTAAAACTCTGTATACACAACAAAATATTCCTGGTGAACTAACAGAAAAGAACTTAAATAACCAAACATTGACTGTCACAATATTTTTTTTTTTTTTTAACAACAGAAACTCAGATTAAATGAAAACTTCAGTTTCTTATCTACCAGAGTTGACCAAATTTAAATAGTTGGCCAAATAAACCATTGTTTTTCCCTATGATTGCAGGCATCTGAGATGCTTGGGTTCTTTTACACATACAGGCCTTAACAGTCTGCATCAATTCCCTCTGGCCTAACCCAAACCCAACCTATTAGCAAACAGAATTCATATCTCCCTCCGATTGTTCATAAAAACCCCTTAAGAATGCATACACAAGGCTTGTTTCTTACAGAAAGCTTACTGACAAAGAGCCTAAACCCCATCCCTCTTCAGCAATACTACAGTCATGTTTTTGAAGGGATAAAGAATAAATAAATCAAATTGCAATTTCAGGGTGATTTTTATGAGGCAGACATATGGCTGGAATGCTACTGTAAACATTGCCATCCTTGAGAAATCGCCCTGGAGTTTTGATCAGAAGCAGTCAGGATCTCTGCCGCGTCCCTCCCTGCAAAGTTGGGTAGGAGCAGACAGATGATGGCATTCGCCTGCCTTCTTAGCAGCTGGCAAAACGACAACATGACAAAGCACGACAAATAATACTTTAGCTGGTTTACTCTTGTATTAGGGGGAAGACAGCAAGATAGGCATGTGCTCTGAAGTTGCAGGACTATGAGAAGGAGGAAGAAATGCCAGCAGCGGACACTGCTGCAAGGCAAGTTGATCTCCAGTGTGAGATAAATAAGTCTGATGGCTGAATTATCAGAGATGCTGAACACATCCTGCTTCTTCTGAAATAAATTAGCACAAAGTGATCATCTGCTCTGAAGATTAGGCTACTGAATTTAAGGATTTCTGAATCCCAGGTTCTCATAAACACAGTCACATTCCCAGGACACCCAGAGATTTACAGAGCTATAGCTTTAGTGAAGCAACCCTCACATACAAAATGTGAATAAATTTGGGATTTAAGGAAGAGTAACATCCAAAGCATTTGTATAATCATCCCTAATGCTCCGACTAATGACATTGTGAGAACTCTGAACAGAGGGAATTTCAAGGCTTATTAATTCCCCTAGTTGGATTCACTTTCCCAGTGCATCTTTCCTCGCCTATTCCCTATTAACCTCCTGTAATGGAGAGGAGAAGATTTTTATCGCGGATCATTTCTGACAGACGTACTATGCTTAATTTTCCATCATTAGGTTTAATACAAACCCAATTTCACAATTGGCTTCTCTGAGGAACCTGCAAGTAATGCCACATTTTTATCAGCCCCAATTAAAAAACATTACTATATCCCTATTCGAGAGGGAGTCTTAAAACTAATGTGTGGTTCTAGTGCTAATACAGTAAGGGCACATGCAGAGCACAGGCTACTTGTATAATGTAGCTCAGATCAGTCAGCTCCTTTGCAGGCAATTATTAATTTATCTCTTCATCAGATCCTTTAATTCTGATGTACTCGGCTCTCTTCTCAGAGAGAAGTATCATAGGGAGAGGTGAAAGCCAGGAAAGTAGTGCCCTCTCCTTTCCAGAATAACTTCCCTCGAAGTAGGTGTCCTTGTTACGAATCTGGAACTAGAAGCTTCTCAGCAGCAAAGAGGGATCTGACTCTGGCCTTTTGACAACTGTGCCTCTGGTCTCTTTAGTCAGAGAGATAAAAAATGGTACAAAACCCACTGACTGTAGCAACAGCTCTTGCATCATGGTCTGTGGCACCACACCATTTGTGTGCCTCTCACCGAGCCAAGTGTTTCTGCTTAGAAAAAAGTGTCACACAACCTGGGTCATCCTACTCTTAACCCTATGACACACAGGGTTGAAACTAGGCACAAGATCACCTCCTCTGGATGTCCATCAAAAACACATCTTGAATGGCCTCTGCGCTACCTGGAAGAAAACCCAAGCCCAACAATTGCACCAGCTCAGGATGGCTGTCAGTTATTCCCACCAGCATTTTGTCTGGGGTGATGGAAGCATGGAGGGGCTTTTATGGAGACAAATTTTTGTACAAGGCGAGCCTAGCGTTCATACGTTCTACTAATAAAGCCTGATGCAGGAAACATATTGTTCCTTCTCTGTCTAATCACACCACGAGCCCAAACCTAAGCATGTTTAATGAGGCACTCACACAAGGCACAACACCTTCTCTCAAGATGTGCTGTTTGCAGCAATTTTGTGAACAACTCAAAATGTAGGTTGGAGGGGAGGTAGCAGCAAACTGATCTCTCATTAGGATAATCAACCGAAAGAGTCTTTGGAGGGCTTGCGGACTTTGCTTTTTCTGCAGGTCGCAGCTATAAACCACATCTCATTCCTTTTGGCACCATTATTACTGGAAAAGACAACAAAAATATCAGCCTCTCAGCAAAGTCAGACTTCTGCTTTAACTCTTGCACTAAAGGCAAGTCAAAGGAAACTTCCATAGTCCCTCCTCTCTGTCCCCTTCTCACAAACATGCCCCCATTCCCTTGCAAGTGAGGATGAGTTCATAAGACAAATTGGCCAAGAATTTCACTAAAGTTTCAGCAGTTCCTCTAATGCCTTTTATGAGTTTTCAGTGAGAACAGCAAATCAAGAAAATAGGTTTTTTTGGAAAGATGCTTGAAATATTCACTCTAATACTCAGCAACTACTAAACATACAGAATCGTGCAGCAGGTTTTTCTGGATTATATTTGATATGCACATTTTATTTCTAGCCATACATCCTCATTTTGTTGATAGGAACACATACCATCATATTTCATTGCATACCAAAGATGGAATACAGTTCCAAGAAATAATCCAAATTAAAACATTTCAAGAGATGGTGATTCTATTCTGACCCCTAAAGTTGTGGCAACGGTTAATTACCCTTGCTGTCTAAACATTTCTTAATTGCAATTTGATTTTGCTTAGCTTTGACCTGCAGGCACTGAATCTTATTATACCTTCTGTGAGATTAAAGAGCCCTCTGAGCATTTGAAATCTTGACCCATGCAGGCACTGATCAAATCACTTCTTCAGTTTCTCTTTGATAAAGTAAATCAATTGAGACCTTCTGGAGTCTCATTAGGGCAGGCTGTTCAGGGCTCCAGTTCCTTCCTAGAACCATTTCCAATTTTCCACAGTTCTTTTTGTGCAGCTGTAAATAAAACAGGTATTCTGCATGTTGCTGGAAACATGCTGTTTGTCAGAGGATCATTTCTAATATTAGCAGCTGCAATAGTGAAATATGTTGTCAGCTTGTTTGTTAACCCTTTTTAGTGCGACAAACTCACTCCCCATATTAAGATGTCTGTTGCCAATGCAGGTATTTTGATTTCTGGAAGCTGACACTTTCATTATCAGCCTAGGAGCTCACAGAATACCCTGAAATTTTGTATAAGATGTTAAATCAATGATTTACTGGCTCTCACATAACTAGACTGATTGGGAAGCTCTTCAGACATCTCATCTGTTTAGGGTGTAACTGAAGATAACAAAATTTAACAATGTTGACTCCACTTTTAATATTCACAAACACCCTGCTTGTGAAATGGTGCTTCTTGTACCTCTCTTCTTTGCTGGAAAAATAATCATGAACTTGCTGACGTAAACTCTGAGGTCTGACTCTGCCAAGAGAAACTTAATGGAGTCCAGTGTGCAGAGAACAGCTGAAGCAGAGGCCAGCTAAGAGGCATCCTCCCCCATTTGATGACTAACCCTGAGGGCGAGATATTATTGCTTGTCTGCTGCTACAACACCTTGTATTATATACTTTTGTTGCTACCCAGACAAGTAAAATAAATATGTCTCCCTCCACAGAAAAACTGATAAACTCCTCCACAGATGTCACAGATAAGATGAAGAGCAGCTGAGAAATTAGATTCCCAGCCTGGAAGTGGTTCTGTATGATCAGACCTCTGTGCAACGTCCCAGTAAGGCTGGTGGGAGGGGATCTGCTCACCCAGAGCAGCTTTGGGGACTGAAACTTTAGATCCTTTTATCGATGTCATCTTGTTTCATAACCATAGTTTTGTTAGCCTTAGAGACAGATATCTGGACACAGAATACGATGTTGCCTTCTGACCAGAAAGCTAGTCTGTGCCTCAAATAACTAAAAGCAATGCTGCACCGATGTGTCATCTTGTGTATATAGAGAAGTTTCTTTCAAAACTTTTGCTTTAATATCCACAAATTCCTTCTGTGTCTGAGATGACAGGCCTATCATCTCTGTTTATAATTTTATTCTCTTAGCCTTGGCAAGTATGTAAGATGATAAGACATCCTTTGCACAAAATAAATTATATTTTGAATGGTGTTTGTGATGGATTTAATTACACACATATCCAATCTCTCTACACTAGAGTAAGGGTTGTCAATTATTTGACATCTTCCAAGGATGACTACAGCATGGCTAATATCTCTTACCCTTACACTAGGGATACGGTGTGAGCTGGTAAAATTAATTTGCTTTTTTGTGTGCATCAAGGCTTTATTATATGATAAATATCCAGCTATAATATGCTACATACAATACAAACAGTGGTATGGTAAACCAAAGCCAAACCATCATTTGTCTCATGATATCACTTGAGCTATAAAAAAAGGCACATTTCTTAACAAAAAGCCTTCTGACACCAGGATTGACAGAGTGGAGGATGCATCTTTCATTTCAAAGGCTATGAAGAAGCCACATGTGTATTTAAAAAAAAAAAAAAAAAAAGCTGGAGAAAGTAATTTTCTCTAAATTCTAAAGAGATTTTAAGAATCGCTTGGTAAACACCTTACACAAGTGTATTCTAATCTTATAAAAACTATTGTACACATTTTTTTTTTTTTATTAGTTAGCATAGAAGAAAATCCCCTTAAAGATGAAAGGAAGATACTTTGGTGAGCTGGGCTAAGACTTGGGACTATTGGGTGCATGCGCAACAGTGCAGCTCTTTGGATGCGTGGACCTTACCAAGCCAAACCTCTCTTTGCCTCCCTGGTGAAATGAGGCTGTCAGATCTACCTACATTACAGATCAATGCTTTAGTTACAGCTGAAAAACTACTGGCAACTTGAAAACAGCACACAAAACTAGATGCCACTAAAGACTGGAAGAGAGAGTTTTCCAAGCCACCTGATCATCTGCAGGCAGAAAGAAATGTAAGAGAAATTCAGCGTAAGAGTCTACCAGGGCATGCACCTCTGCTGCTCACTCTGCTGCGGGCTAACATTCACACAGAGAACTGATGTGAGAGCCTCTCCCACAGCTCCTGAGAGGCTGACATGGTCTGGGAGGCTACAGATACAATTGAACAGATCAAGTCACTAATTTTTCAAGTTTCCATTGCATAAAAAGAATTCATCCCACAATTTAAAAAGCCAGTAATGGTGAGACTTGCTAATGCAGCAACATCATATTAGTACTTTTTTAGTTCTTCAAGCATTAGGTTGTGGATATACCCACAGCAGATTGATTAGGCCCAAGTAAAAGCCCATCCAACTAGAGAAGAGCAAAATTCAGGGCAAATTTCTGTTTCTTTCTAAGCACAAGCCAGTTTTTGTGAGAGACTTTATGACATCAAGCCTGCTGTGCTTGTTCTGCCCGTCTGCAAGGAACTAGAAGGCATTACAGTCCTCATCCTCTCTGGAGGGCAGTGATTCTTGTTGTTAAGATCCTCTTGAGCAGTTGAAATGAGAACAAGGGTAAATGTCCTTACACACTGCTGTGAGATGTTAATAGATACAAGGGAAGAACATGCTGGCTCCCCTGAAGACAGCCCTGACGACTCCTGTTGAACACCTTCGAGAGCTACTGGCCACGCACATTTTCTCCAAAACCAATCTCTATGCACTACCTCCTCTTCAGGCTTTGAAGTACTGGTACAACATAGGCCTTACCGAGGTATTAAAAATAGGGAAATCTACCTCCCTTATTTATTAGTATTACATATTCACTTCTCTAGTGAAGATGCTTGCGCAAAACATTTAAATTCAGAGTTGTCTAAAACTGAAGAGAAAATTACAGAGCTAAAAACATGTATTACATAAACCAGCATTAATCAAGCATGGGATAGGGTAGAGGCAAACCCAAAATCCCCTATATCTTACTATCAACAAATCATGTCACAGCCAAGCCTAAGGAGCCATCCACTACTGCAGACACAGAACATTTATTAGCAGAAGGCATAACAGATGGGAACAAATAGCACTGAACTGCAGGTAGTGCCCAAAGACGGATATTGGTAGTGAGATGACTGATGCCCTTTTAAAGATCTCTTTTTCTTTCCCAGGAATGAATATTAATAAACATCAAAAATTAAACTTATTTTGCTATATAGCAACATCCAGTGTCTGGTGAATCTGTCTGAGAAACCAGAATGCCAGGGTTTTAATCTGTCTTTAAGTCACTAGATAGAAATTTCTTCAATGCCAAGGGCTGTTTCACAGCACCTGTGGCTGTTAAATAAAAATGCAACTGGGTGGGAGGGGACGGGTATAGTGTGACCTGTCTGTGTAAATCATGTCTTATAAGGGCTCTGTACTTAACTTCCCATGGGTAAAACAGGGATATTAATCCCTACTCAGATACAGTGGTTAGAAAGCTTGAAAAAGTTTTGAATACATATGCACAAGACTGGTATAATTCCTATTTCTTCTTTCTGCTCTCTAAAATATGAGATTCTGAGTTTTGAGGGGGGGTTGGCTTTTACCTTCCCATGAGAAGCACATATGGAATCTATTTACTGCTCCTTGAGCTTCAGATTATGAAGTGTTAAATTTTCACCATAATTCTCACTATCGGGAGAGAGTGGGGAAAATAGCTCCCCCAAACGAGGGTCCTGTTTTCACGGAAGCTGAGTATCAGACTGAGAGCAGTTTGATGTCTTCCAGCAAACTACAGGTCTGGCCCTGTTTCTGAAGTACAGCCAAAAGATAAATCTACCTTTAGACTTTTCTATTGATAACACCGAGTCTCTGGGAAATGAGAACAAACCTTCTGGAAAAAGGACTCCTTTCCTTCCCTACCTCATTAAAAGAGGGCTCATTCATTGCCATCAGCATTTTGATAGATAGCAGGATAAATGTGTGTATTCTGGCAGCCCCTCCAAGCCTCTGTGCCCTGGCTGTTAGTCTGTAAGCCAAGGCACTTAAGCGATCAGTTGTAATTTCTTCCTGGTCTAACTGTGGGCGTTCAGCATGCTCAGAGTAATGTTTAAAGCAGCCACGGTAGATTACTGTGCCTGGAAGTGAACATTTACTGTAGATAATCCAAAATGACAGGTCTGATAAATACCACTGGTTAGATTCTGATCAACCACACATCATCTTTCTGATTCATAGCGGAGGAATTGCCTTCTTCAAATTCCACACGCAGGCAGCATCCTCCAGGGAGAGCCTGCAGTCGTAGGCTGTTATTACTCACTTTCAAGGGTACACCTCCAGTAGGTTTCTGGATAACTTCTTTTATCCACTAACAGTTTCTGCCAATTTTGCTGTCTCTGTTAACTTACTGTAAGAATGTATTATTTTTAAAAATCCAAAAGCTAAAAGCAGCACACTGGATGCTTTATTTATCATCTAAACAAGAAAAGTTAATTTTCAGAGATGCTGAACACTAACACCTTTCTCTAAAGTTACCAACAGCCACAGAACAGCCTATGGCTCTCAGAACCTGCCTTTTTGTTTTCCACTCAAAACTACACTAGATTGCTTGAATATTTAGCATTTAACTCTTAGCATACGCAGAATGACGTGGGGCCACTTGCCCAAACCCAGCCTCTAATTTCTCCAAATAACCTTTATATTTGCAACAGAGTCCAAAACTGTCAGCTCCCACCTGCTCTGGACTTGCAAACCCTCACTTATATTTGCAAGCCTTGAGGCACACAGAGCTGAGCCTCACTCACAGGACAAAGGGTAATAGCTTTAAACTAAAAGAGAGTAAATTCAGACTATATATAAGGAAGGAATTTTTTATTATAGGTGTGGTGAAACACTGGCCCCGGGGTGCCCAGAGCAGCTGTGGCTGCCCCCTCCCTGGAAGGGTTCAAGGCCAGGTTGGACGGGGCTGGGAGCACCCTGGGCTGGGGGAAGGGGGCCCTGCCCGGGGCAGGGGGTGGGACTGGGGGGGCTTTAAGGTCCCTTCCAACCCAAACCGTTCCATGATTCTACACAAGCTGCACAGGCACAATCACCTACATGAGACAAAACTAAGCCGAAGGCAAGGCGGCATGTGGGAATTTGGCCCAGAATGTCAAATCCCATTCACAGAAAGAAACAGCAAATACTTGATAGAACTCCTAAACCTTAATTTTTGAATTGTCCTTTCCTTTTAAAAAAATAAAATAGCAATTAATAACATTAAGAAAGCATGAGTACAACAAAGGGCTTTCCAATTAACATAACACATGACCACAGGATTAATTAGGATTTTGGAGCCCTGCCACATAACAGTGCTCTCTCTGAGTTATTTTTAAGACACAAGGAGTGTGTTTGCTCTCCAATGAAGCACAGTAAGTATGCCATACCTGTCTTCTTACCTAACAGCGTGGTCGATGGAACAGTGTCTGATGATACTTTGAGATGGAATCCCGTTCACCCACACGACACGGATCAATGGAAATCAACAGAAGATCAATAGGAAAAAAAGTTACAAAAAATGAAAACAAGGTTAGCTGTATCTCACACTCAGAAGATTCAGTCTATAGGTCATATTGGGAAATGTACAAAAGTAAAGAAAATTTAGAAATGAAAGAAAAGTCTGGCACTAGTACCTGAGTAGTAGGTATTCAACAAAGATTTGCTCTGAAGGGTTTTGCTTTGGACAGAAAATGAACAAGGAGAGGGTGATGCTAGGTAGGAAAGACATAAGGAAAAGACTTTAGACATATATTAAGAGAGAGAAAGAGAACAGGGAGAATGTTCCTCAAAGAACACAGTAATATGGGATATATAAGGCTTATCAAAATGAATTATATTTTTCATCTCGACATGCATATTACATTTATTACATTGTCATCATGATGGATTTTCTTTAATATAAGCACTTCAGACCCCAAATAAAGTATTATAGTTATTGTAAATCAATGTGTTCTTACACAGGATACATATATAGGACTATATTCTAGATATCCTTTTTTTAACCAAAGGAACAAACTTATGGTTTATTTCTCTAGGAGAAAGATCCTTAAAAATGACCCCCAAAATGCAAACCACAGAGACTCAAATGCAGTATTAACAGTAAAATAAGCCTGCTCAAATACAATGTGCACTAGTACCACAGAAATACACAGGTAGGATAGTAGGTTTTTTGTTAAAATAATACAAGAAGACAAGGGACTTGTTCTTCAACCCAGGACTTTTCATAGCAAATCCTATAATCCTTTCCCCTGTGAGATGGGCTCTTTCAGCAGGACAAGCACTCCTGCATTCTCCCATTAAAGTGTTAGTTTTCTCTGGACAAGAATCCAGAAATTATTTCCATATTAATCAAATACTTATGGGAAGGAGGCAGGCCTCAACATCTTCACAGTAGATTCTTTTCTGGATAGTAAATTTATGAGGCTGGTTTATATCTGCAATAGCATACATGTACATTCTCATGGTAATCCATCATTCCTGAAAGCATATTCTTTTGTTATCATTCTGCATTCATTCTTAGAGTTACAGGCATTTATTTATCTCCTCCTCAAAATGTTGGGAAACAAGCTAATACAAATCTCAGTACATCAGAAAGATAACAATAGATAACACAGGAAAAACTATTCCATAATCCAATAGAAGTAGATAAAACTCAGTATACATCAAAGTAATTTCAGAAGCAATTTTTTGTATCTCTAGCACAAACACCGTTTAAAAGTTTCAAGTTATTCTATGGGGTGAACGAAAGAAGTCACTAGTCTAGGGAGTTTCATAAAGTCAGCAGAATTACCTCCTAAGCAGTTTATAATCACCTAGTAAATGAACTCACTCTTGTTCTACATTCTCCCACCATATTTTCAGACTTACACCACTTGAAAACACATTAAAATAATCAAATTTCTCAAAGCTTAGTCTCCTGGAGTTCTGCCCTGCTGCCTTCAAGCCATAAAGCATCTCTCCTTTGGGGCTTCTTATACTTTCTCCCCTGTGTTTGTCAGACTAAATCAGAACCTCACCTTACTGTGCTTGGAACATGGCCACTTTCACAGATATATAAAGTAAGGCCTAAAAAGAGTAATCTGTTTGCCCGGGGTCACAGAGCAAGTCAACAGTCAGGGCCTGGAACAGGACTCAGATTTTCTGAAATTTGAGAGTATAGGCGAACTCATTGGGCCATATTGCCTTTCCAGGAATTGCTAATGATAAATTATTTAGACAGCTGAAGATATACACCTCACTCCATTGAGTCTGACTAAAAACGATACCAACTGAGGTTTTTGAAATGAACTCTATTTGTGAGACAGGGGGGTGATTTCTAGATTCAGAAGAAAAAGAGGGAGGAAAAAAAACATCAGAAAACAAGTTACCCAAAACTTCAGAAAGCTCATTCCCAAAATCAGTCATGTAGTAACTTGTATCATGAGAGATGTGCACACAGTGCTGCTTGCTAACCAGAAGTTCTTACAAGCACTAATGTGTGGAATCACAGGAAACACTTCCAGAGAGGATTTCACATCAGGGTACACATTAAGACTTCATCAAAAATTCTCTTTGAACTTCTTGGAGTGACACGTGAAGCCACACAGATCCTCTAGTCATGCAGAATGGTTGGAGGCTCCTTCCTATTCTGAAAATGATTCTTAGTTCTTATAAGATTTTCTGAACTAGCAAACCCCACAAAAATCCCCAACCAGCATGAACACCCATAAAAGGGATTTTGGTATTTTTTCTTTTATGCCTTTGACGAAACGTGGATTTATTTTTAAATTAATTGTAGAATTTTTCACTAAAGAAAACATCTCAAGGTCATGATCCTACAAGTCCTTGGGCTGCCTTTAGCAGGTAACCTAGATAAATAAAATTTAATGAAATTATCTATGAGCTAGGAAAAAGAACTGGATCTTGATGTTATTGTCTGTTGTGACTTACAGCAAATCTAAAGACTTTTGCATTTCATTCATCACAAAAATACACAGGATATGGAAAGGTGTAAACTTAGATGTTTCTTGGTTAAAAGTGATCCTGAACACCCTGAGTGCCACTTACCTACATCCTCCTCTTATCTCCTTGTTCTTGCTAGTAAAGACACACTAACTTCGTAACCGTAAAGAAGTGCACTCTAATGTAAAACTCAGTTTCCTACAGCTTCCAAAATGCTGTCTTCAAACTGTGCTTCTGCCTGTAACATTAAAACTACCTACCTAACCTGTATCAGTCTCACTCCTGAAGGCTGTCTGGAAAGCAGTCTCCTCGCAAACTGAGATGTCACAAAAATGAAGCAAACCCTAATAAATCAGTCACTAGAAAAATTGGTATGTTGATGACATGGCATTCTCCTAGACGAGCCCGATGCATGACATTTTAGCATTGCAAGATCCAGAAAATCAGTTCCTCTGTGCAAGAAATACCACTATGGACAGGGTGCTGGGCAACCTTGTCTAGACTGTGCTTTTGCCAAGAAAGGTTGGACCAGATGATCCCTTCCAACCTGGTATTCTATGATTCTGTGATCATTAGTGCATCATTGCTGAGATGATATACTACTGCTTCCCCCATCACATGGATGGGCAGCCAAATCATGCACAGTTTATGTGCAGTAACAACACTGCCCTTCTGGTCAGTGCACAGATACTGGTGGATAATTTTAGGCTTACCTTGCCTCCAATTTGTCATCTTGTTTCATAACAACTCTGCACTGAGCCAATGCCTACACGTGAGTGTGCTATGCCATTTGGAGGAAAACGCCACTGCTTTCAAAACATTCCTGTAAACTGAGGAACAGACTCAAACTCTGCAAGCACTATCATCTACCTTTAAAGGATTTAGGATTGTTTTTATTTTTTAAAATGCAAGATATTTGAGGAAATTAACAACTATGATGAGCCTGCTTCACCTTCACATAATGCCTGGGTAAAACCAGACAAGCTGGACTAGCCATGGACTAATCCATCTTTCAGCAGACACCTATTCTGATTCCATACGGTGTCAGAGACAGAGGCTGAGTCCATAAAATCTCTTCAGTTTAAACTCCAGGCATACCAGAAAGAATTCTGCCTGAATAATGACTAAGAGTATGGAATGGAAAGAGTGATGAGGGGCTTTGCTTTGGGCCAGGAAAGATAAATGCCCATTTCTCTTCCACTTTTCAGCAAGACTTGAGATCTCCTTGTTTCAGATACAGATCTTCCAGAATGTAATTATATTTGATAATGGACACCTCTGCCAAATGACAAAATTCAAAACTACAAACGTCCAGCAGGACTGTGTGCTCCTCAGCACTGCACTGGCCTTGACTAAGGACTCTGTTGCACTCAAACAGCAATGACTTAATGGATGACGCCCTTTGCATGAGTTTATATTGAAAATACAAATGTTTTCCGCTAAAGCACTGAGAGACAGTATGTGAAAAAATCTGCATTTTTACCACCAGCAGAGGCAGAAGGATGGTAACTCTTAGCTGTGAAAGAATGAGCATTACTATACTGCCTACTTTTGTCAGAGTTGCCTGTAGAAGTGGTCAGGTCTGTGTCTCCTCAGAAAAGGAGGGGCTGATAAACAGAAAGGCAACCGCTCATTTTTGTGTCCTTCATGACGCACAGCACCAGGCAGCACCCTTTACAGCCGCTGGACCTGTCAGGTGGGAGCTGCCTGTGGGGTGACGGGGATGTAGGCAGCAAGACAGGCAGCAAACGGGGAGGCTACAGCCGGAGGGCAAACAGGGCTCACCCAAGAACAGCAACAGTCCTCCCACAACAGGAGCAGACCAGTGCGCAAGCTGGAGAGGCTATGAGAAGAAAAAAGCTTCTATAGAGAATTACTGAATTTGTTCTGTTTGAAAAGTCATTAAAATTATTGAGACAGGAAGGAAAAACTGGAGGGAAGGACACAAGCCCTGCAAGGACACTGTCATCTGGAGATAAACTTGTTTGCAAGTCATTCAGTAATTGCGAGGTCTTGTTCTATTTCATTGCTTTTGTGAGCTTACAAGGTGATCTTGGGATTGAAAACACAGCTTCTCTTGGTGGATTTTCTTCAAAAAGGAGAGGGGTATTTCCATGTCACTGCTACAGCCAGCTTGGGCTCCCATAACTGAGGGCAAGATGGAGAGGATCACTACCTAACATGAGGTATGCGAAAATACTATTCACTGTTGAGAGACAAAAGGACAATTAAGTAGGAATTTGATTGCTGTTTAAGACAGACAGCTGATTTCAAAAGCGAGGATAGATAACCTCCTGTAAAACTCTATTAGTTAGCAGGAGGGTTAAGAAGTAATCCTGTCATGTTATTCAAAAGTTAGAGCAGGCCTGTATAGAAATCCTAAAGTATTAAACTCTATTAAGGCAAATTTTTTAAAAGAAAGTCTTTTACCCATAAAATTCCTGTATCAGCATGTGTACACCACTGCACAAAAGAGAACTTACCTCCAAAATCTCCTGCGTTTGGCAGTAAAAAATTTGGAAAAATGATGAAGGCTTACTGGTTTGTTTCTCATGGGTATAAAGAGGAAAAAAGAAAAGATTTGGCCCATGACTTGACTCAGGCTGTGTTATAGAGGGAGGTAGTGATAAAATCTACAGTGATGTCAGACAAGCAAAGGACTAACTGATTAAAAAAAAAAAAAGAAAACCTGGAGGGATGCTTTTTTGCAAAATTAGATACAACATATTTTCTATAGTTGCCATTTCAAGTAAATGACTCAGCTGTTTTAATTAGTCTCTCAAAATACCAAGAGGGGAAAAAAAAAAAAAAAAAAGAGGTCACATTTCAAGTTTGTCTCTTCTTTCATTTTCTGGTTAGAAAAAAATCCCCAAACTTTTAAAAATCTAGATTCTGAATAAAGTGTTAAAAACTTCATTTTCCCCATACATGTCAAACAAACTACCTTTGCTGTTTCTAGGATGCCTGTTACAATGCTGTCCTCTGCTATCCTGCCTTTCAAAGATATGGACCATTGACAACTCTTGCTGTCTCTTTAGGAGATATAGCTACTCGGCACCTGAGAAAATTAGATCTTGACTCAAGTCAATTTAATATCAGAGAGAAGTGTTCACTGCTAGCCTTGATGGTCCCAAACACCTATTTATCCATCTCACGGGTATGTTACATAAAGTGGCAGTAGCAACACATGCAGATGGAATTTGACATGACCTACTGATAGAGGGAAAAGAAGAATTCACTCAGCCTATCCAACTCAATCTCAGATTACAAAGAAAGGTTTCAATGATAAAACACATTTTGTACCGTAAGCACTTCCATGTTAGTAATTAGGGGAAAAAACACTTCACTGAAATGTTCAAGAAAGACGGATGAGGTTTAGTACGTACTTGTGTTTCAGAGCTGTTCCCTGTTCAAACTAGCAGGCTAAGTGTCAAAAGAAGGAGTGACATTCCCATAGTGTCTAAGTCAAAATTTATTTAATACAAAAAAGTTTACAAATCCACCATGCAATCCACCATGCACTCAATCTGGATCTAGTGAGGCTAAAGTATGACTTTGTGCTGCTCTACCCACAAAACTCTGCCAGCTACAGAAGTCCGAGTGGTTTACAAGTATTAACTAAGATTAATTTTACTGAAAAGGTGTGAAGAATAAACCAAGGACACAGACAAAAGAAGAAATGCTGTTTTTCCATACTAGTTCTCTAACCAAGAGACCATGCTTTCTTTCATAACTATTTCATACAGAAAATGTTATTTCATCCTACAAGCCGGATAACTGATTTAATTTGACTCTTCTACTCACAAAGGAAAAAATATTTCTGAAGAACAAATAAACATGTGCCTTTTTAACTGTCTGATGTAGTTATTAGAACAGACTTTAAAAATTATTCTCAGTAGATTTAGAGTCGGAAGAAATGCTCTCCACCTATCTGACAGTTAAAGCAGGGGCAGTGTCAGAGACATTTCAGACAATTGATTTGTGCTGAGCTTTTGCAATGATCTCTATCATTGACATTCCTAGCTCCTCAATATTGTGCCCATAGGAATAGGTCCTTTTAAGAACCTAGAGCTCTCCAAGGGGGACATATCCATTGCAAGCAAGTTAAACTTACTGAATCCATTAACATCTTGGCAGCTGGAAGAAAAAGCTTCTTCATTGTGAACAGCACTGAGTTTGGTAGAGGTCTTGTCAGAAGTAGCCACAGGACCCATCTCCCTCTGCGTGTTGGTCTGAGTCTCCTTCTGCTTCTTGGCTAGCTTCCTTTAGGGTATTTTGAAGAGGGGAGAAATTAAGGTCAGTTTTCCCTCATTAAAAACAAAGCAACGACAAAATATTTTGAAAACCACGATTATCCCACTCAGTCAGACATGCAGGGCATGTGGCAAGCCGCACGAGAGAAAACCCCACAACTTTTTAACGTAACTATTGTGGAGCAACAATAAATACTGTGATACCAGTCTTTGAGCTTAGCTGTCCCTCCCGGTAACTCATCTCGCACAAACCCGCATCACCCCAGCAGTAGGAGTGCTACGTCGTCCTTGAAGAGGCTGGCATAGGCAAAGCCCCTGGGGCGGGTGTCAGCCGCTCCAGAAAGAGCAGAGGGCAGGGATGAGGGCAGCGACCAGAACCGCTCACCAGGAGGCAAACGGGACGTCTGGATCCATCCCACGGGGACACCTGCACCGGGGAGTTCCTCCGAGTGCGCCGGTGGCGAGGGCGACCTGGCTCTGTGCAACCTGGGGGGCTGGAGCAGGAGTTCTGCTCATGCAGAGCAATGAGGACAGCAGCCTCTACTGAATTTTGACACACACCCAAACTGCCCTGAGGACTGACAGTCGCTGAAAGGTGGGGCAAATTAAAGGTTCAAGTTATTTTAGAAATGTCCAAATACGGCTCTTGTGGGAAAACGGGTCTTTTCTTATTTTGAGGAAATATCAAAAACATTGGCAAAAGCAGAAACACTGCCTGCTCTGAAAACACTAACAAAGCCAAGAACATAAGAGGCTCCTTTTTTGCAAACACAGCTAATAATAAGAAAATGGGGAGAAGCAGGAAAAGTGAGCTGCTAAGCTTCCATTGACATTTGACTGCCCTGTGCTTCATTCATATCAGAGAGCAAAACTGTTTAAAAATGAATGTGTGACATTCTACAAACCCACACCTTGAAAAAATATCACACAAATCCCTAGCACCAGCAAAGAACTTTGCTTACACGACTTCCGTAGATAAGAAAATAAAACAAAATAAAAGGGAGAAAAACAGATTACTGTAAGAAGGAGCTTTAATTTTCTTTTTTCCTCCAACTCAAAGAAAAAAAAAAAACCTAACAACTAAATGATTTTGCAAAGAGGTTTTTCTTCACTAAAATGACATGCTTATGGTAAGTAGTACCCATCTTTTAAACTTCACTGGATTCTTAAAAGGATATTCCTTGCAACATATTCCAACAGGCTTTATTTACTCACAGCACATGTCAGAGTGGCATTTACAAGCAAGTTCAAGCACACAGCTGAGCCCCAGCCCTTCGTGAGATGGGTAGCTAGGCCAGCTACACTCATTTGCAAAGAAGGGTCAGAGAGAACTAAAACCTTTGCCTATGTCTGTGGGAAATGACTATTTTAAGGTAAGCTGATAATCCAGAACAGGAGAGCACAGATTTATGGAGAAGTGTCAAATGTTTGATGCAAACTTTTGAACAAATACATGTTTCATCTGCTCAATCAGTTGAGATTCAGGCTTTTATGGTTACTGGTTTCAATTCAAAACAATAGCTATTCAAATTGGGTATATAATTACATAATGTGTATTTAGATCTCACTAAATCTCCATGGTGTATATCCACTTCTGCAGATGAAGATGCAAACAGAGGAACTGTCCTTGAGTGATGAAGCAAAAAGCTGGCATTTAATGATGTTAAAAGCTTTGCTTCCAGTGTTCAGCAATGTTAGCACAGTCAGATTTATTAACTATGAGCTGCAGCCATGGGAGCCCCCTTTTTTTGTGCTGTGGTACCTGAGGTAACAACAATAGTCTTGAAGTGTATTAACCCTGCTAGGCAGTTATTTTAATCCTTTAGATTTGATAATCAGACATGGCTATGTGAATTCTTTGGCCACAGGAATTAGAATTTCTCAGTGGGAAACACTAATCCAAAATGCCGAAGTCCTTAATAACAAGCACTCGGGACTGCTGGGGTGAGCCATTACAGACGACCACTACTGACGTTTAAAAACAGTGAGTCAAAAAGGGTGACTTCCTTATTAAATCCAGGTTAAATTATTTGTGGCAATCATTATCTGTAAGTCCCATTGCCTGGTATCTTTTCAGAGATGCCAACAAGCTACAAAGAGCTGGAACTGGCAAACTCATTTTCTCTTTCAATGAATGAGCAATAACATTTCTGCATGTGCTAGGCAGGAAAAAAATAAACCCAAACCCAAGCCCATTAGTCCCCAAAGGCCTGCTTACAAAAGCCCTATGCAAAGCAGTTCTACCTGGTCCTGTAGAAGACAGAGAGGCCCCTAAAACATTGGCTTGAATGCCTAAAAAGAAAAGGTGACATGAGTTTAAAGTTCTCAATCTAACTCGCACACACAAACCAGGCTGCTCGCAAGTGGACCAGCTAACGCTTACGCATGTTCAGAGAGAAGCCACACAGAAAATTGTTCTGCATCTGAAAATGCTACAACATTTTTCAACAGCACGTTATCAGTTTCTACCTTTCTCCCTCTCTATTCCAAGAATGAAAAAATTCTTCATCTAAATTTAGAGGGAAAAGGAAGACAGGTCTCTTTTGAGGATTTCAGAGCTAAGCTTGCCAGACACATCAAGGGGCTCTCGGTTTCTAAATGTGCCTTTTCTGCCTCTGTTACGTGTCTGGATAGAGTGGCAGCACAGGACTAAGCCTATTTGGTCCTTACCATCATAATAATTTATAGAAAGGATTATAAAATCAAATGACTAGCACTTTCTGGAATGTTACGGATGTGACTTAAACCCACAGCTAGGTAGAGGTTTATTTCCCAGCATGTCAAAATGCCTTTGGAATTGGAAAAGCATTTATCTGGAAATGCTGTTTCCAAAAATAGGGCACTTCAGGAGATCTCTGTGAATCACTGACAAGCTGCATCAGTGACACGGCTCCTGCTCTCCTCACCGACCAGCCCCCCCTCAACGGCAACACCCGGCCGAAGCTGCTACCAGAGCATTAGTGTCAGTCACGGGCCGGCGCGGGCCAGCGCGCACCCAGCGCTGCCTGCCACCCCGCACCCAGACGGCACTTTCCATCTCATGCATTATGCAGTCGAAAAGGAGAAGAAATAAAGGACCGGGCAGATATCTGGAAGAAGAGTCTGATACAATCAACACAGGGTGAAGAGCCTGAAATGTCAAAATGTGAATAAGGTGATAGTAATGGCTGTTAAGGAGAATGTGCCAAGAAGAAAACAGGAGTCCACAGATGGGGGTTACTGGGTTGCCCTTTTCAGTTCAAGAGGGTTTGCAAATGAAGAGATGAGATGCTTACAGGCACTATACACACACAGGAGGGATGAGATGCTCAAAGCAGAATAAAGAAGTGAAATCAGCTGTATAATCAGGCAGTTGAAGCTAACCCAACTAAAGCAACGACAAGAACTATTGGCAGTGAACCTAAAGTAAGTGCAAATTTTGAAAAAAAAAAAAAAAAAAAAAAAAAAAGAGATTTGATTCAGCTATTTTTGAAACTTCTACTACCAGAGAATAGATAGAAAATGCTAAAGCACTATATTAAAATTGTGAGAGTTCCAGTTTAACAGTCAAGGAATGCAAACTTAGTATCAAGTACAAAGCATTTACTGCCATGGGCATTAATCATAAAGCTCAAGCAACATTTTCAGTTAGAAGTATCTGAAGGATCTGTCCGGTTCCTGTTTTGCAGAGGTCTGGATAAACATCAGGGAATATATTTTAAACGCAACTTCAAACTCATCTCTAACTTTTTATATCAATTTTACATGCATGAATGTTAAATCTGTAACTGCCACTCTTAAAGAGCTCTTGTACATTGACAGATTTAATTTTAGATGTTTCACAAGGATGGATTATATACACTATAATGTAGATTTGCATGCACAGGTAATTTAGACATTAGGTATAGATCACGTAAGTTAAACATGAAATTTCCTCCTACAGACAAGAATTGCATATTGCCCTCATTTTCAATAAGCAATTTAAGGAAGCTACAAAATACAATTCCTTTTAGATATTTGTGCACAGCAGCCTGCTAGGAGCACACATATTATTTATGATGAAATGTGCAGAAGTTTAAGGCAGACAGTGATCAGCCGTGCAAATACCCAGCTGGGAGCACTGGTTGAAAAGCAGTTCTACTGAAAAGGATCTCTGTCCCCTAAACCTGTAGTAGACCACAAACTTGATTTGAAAGAACACTTTCGTGCTGGTGTAAAAATACAGGTAGGATTACACATGGCACTATGGTCTGCAAGCCACAGGTAATCCTTCTGTTCCAGTCGAGGATTGGTAAGGCCTCAGCTGCAATACTGCACTTCAGATAAGACGGGTGCCAAAGGGACACATACAAAGGCAGAACAAGAAAGGGAAATCTAGAAAACACAACCTACAAGCAAAGTCCAAAGGAAATATGGACCTTTAATCTAGAGAGAAAAAAAACAAATAGGGCTGATAGGTCTTTCAAACATATGAAAAGACACCAGAGTGAAGCTGTTCTCCCTGTCTACAGGGGCTGGGAAAAAAGTAATGGGGCTAAGCTATAGGAAGGGCATGTCATTTTAAACTCTGGGAAAACTATACAGCAGAGACTGCCCATCTCTCAAGATGAGTGGGCAGGTAGGCTGTGAAATGTTGGTCACTAGAGGTCTTTACACAGAGACTGAGAGGAATGAGAGTAAAAAGAAGTATAGCCTTCTGGCAGCCTCACAAGTGGGGTGCTCCGATGGTCCTGCCTACAACTGCAGCTCATCACTGCTCCCTTCGTGCAGACTGTAGCCTCAGCAGAGCTGAGAAATATTCTCTGGCCTAAGAACATAGGCAGCTTACTGCTTCTTATAGCCACTATAAGGGCAAATCCTCCACTTACAGGCAAGTGTCGGGACAGCTTTACTTGCACTTTTTAAGTGCCTGCCGTGGTGAAGCCAAATGCAGCACAAGTTACTGCAGGAGCAGAGGGAATTAATTCACCAGGGTAAAGGTGAAGGGAAGAGTGACGACCAGCTGCACCACTTTTACTTACAGAGCAAACATTCCTTGACATGAGAAGGTGATGCAACATAGATATAAGTCAAAAGATGCTCTGAATATTTTGTACTGTGTGTCTACACACACAGTCTTGAAAAATGTAGGGCTGCGGTCTCTAAGCTTTACTTGATCAAATTAATCGCTATTTGTGGAGGACAAACTTACAACCATATAAACTTTAGACAAGATAGGTGCATGTAAGAGCCATACAATGTGAGTATATGCTGGTACAGCCAGCCAGCAAACACTGCCCTCTGCAACGTTTAGGCTTGCAATCACCACACAGACATGTTCTAAATAAAATCTCACTTTCTGGATTTTAATTATATTCTTTGTAATTTGCTTTCATTAGACTGACATAACCACTGATTCATGATTTTGTTTTTCCAGCAACTAATGAGAAAACCAGTTTCTCTTAAAATTCTGATTTAGCAAGCTGACCTGTGCAGGCAGATCCCACCATCCATGGAAATATATGGAGATATTTATGTATGTATGTGGTTATACAGAAGTACACCTATAAATAAAATAATGTTTTATTTCTTTTCAAATGTCCCACAGACGGTAGAAATAAATTCAGCGCACACTCTGTTATTTCAGAAAATGCAAGTATAAATTTAACTTAATACCTTTGACAGAACCTCTCCCATGAAAAGAAACTGAAACCACCACAACAGTTAAAATTGATATGAAATTATGATGGGAGTTGAAGGGGCTCCCAACATTTCAGGTGTGTCCTCAGTACTCTGACCAGTTCAGGGGAAAAGGAAAACAACACATTGGCCATTGAGTGCCCTTTTCTTATAAATAACATTAAACTGAGCGCTTGTCACACACACATGAATCTATGCATTTCTAGAAATACGTCTCTGGTCTGATAACACTCTTGATTAAATTTCCTTCTGCAACTATTACCCAGCCCAGAAGAAAGAAACAAAACAAAATAAAACAAAACAAAACAACCCCCACACAGAAAGCATCTCCATTTCTTTTCCTGGTGAGGAAGTAAGAAAGCGTTGATATGGGTTGCTGCAGTTGGAAATACTGTTGCAAAAGAAGTGTCTGTCATTAAATGCAAAACCTTCTTTAAACCAGATGAATTGCTGTCTTTGTTTTACAGCTTCAGCTAAGAAAAGAAACAAAAACTTTCAGATGTGGATGGGTTGCTATCTTACATTGCACATCGTATCGTACAATGCATTAAACTTAAGTGCAATGTGACAGAGCTAGCAATTCTGTAAAAATCTTAGACAACACTTGTATTGGTGTAAATACAGAGTAACTCCCCTGAAAAGGTTCAGGGATCACCCTGGTGACAGTGATGCAGTGAGTTCACCAGGACAGGAACTCCTAATTCCACATCCCTCTCTTGCCATCACAAAACCAAGTTCCGTCCAAGGATCTGAAATCATAAGCAACTAACTTTTAATGATGGGTAAATTGAAGTACACAAAGTTAAGTCAATCCTGCACGATGACTTAGCAAGTTAGGAGTAGAGTTCTCCCAGGTTGTATTTCCACTTAAAGCACGTTAAAGATCTTTATGGCCTCTTTCAGGCACAGTAATATCCCTTCCTACATGCTGTAAGAAGTTTTTAATGAAGTGCTGCAATACAAAAATCCTATAACTATTTACCCAAATCTATGTATGCACAAAACAGCTAAAAGAGCTGCTCTTTTAAATGAATATATAATAATTAATATAAATTGACTTTGGTTTCACCGTAGCTTCAAGTACTCAACCACCTTACAGAATCAGATTTTACAGTCCTAGATCGCAGCAGAACACAAGACAGGCTGAAGGCAGAACTCCAGCCTAGAGATTACCACAACACTCTGGTCAGTCTCTGTAAACAGTCGCTCATGATAAAGGTCTCTGTGACTTTAATAGACTTATCATTAAGAACTGTTCAGAAGTGTTAGGGTTGGAGATTTTGGTCCCTAACAAGAAGAAATGCCAGTATAGCAGATGACAAAGTGCTGAGAGGAATTATCTGAAAGAAGATGAGAATTACTCTAAGAAGCACAACTTTGAAGTCCTGAAACTGAAACTAAAAATAAAGTGATGTAGTCCATATGGTTGGCTTTAAGGTCTGCTATAGCAGATCTATTTGAGAACCTGCTTTTCAATACTGGTAACTCATTCAACTGAATTTTGTTTCAGGACTGAAACATTTCAAACAAGGACACAGCATGGAAATCAATTCTATTTAAAAATATATATATACACATATTGCTGCTCTGATTTTCACAACATTTCAAGTAAACTTAAATCAAACCTCTCTGCTCCTAAGAGGCTGTAGCAATTTCTATCAGCTTTGGCTAAAGAATTACACAGTCCTTAGCAATTTAAAATTTTCATCTGCAATCACAAAAATACATCTTATTTCACATGAAACTTGAAACACGAAACTTAATAATACTTCATCATACGCTCCTTCATGGATTCTCCTGCTTTCTTCCCTCACAACTAGAACATCCCTCATAGTATCGTTCAGGGAAAAAAAAAAAAAAAAACAACAAACCCCAAAAAAACAAAAAAAAACAACAAAAAACAATCAAAGCTTAGTTTTGCCGGATCAGGGAACAGGCCATATGTCAATATGAAACCAAATGCTGACACACACAGCCTGATGCTGAAAGTATTTACTGTGTGATGACTATGTGTTACCCCTGCTATAGTGATGTTCCAGCTAGCAGAGATGATGCTCAGTGGGGTACCTGGGACACCATAAGCACATGAGCTCCCTGCAAAGAAAGTTGGGTGCAGTACTGGGGAGATACAGTTGTATCATTTCTGCATCCTGAGCTCCAATCTCCATCCAGTGCTCCAGTGGGCTACCGTGAACACATAAGATTGCCTGATGATACCTCTGGTTTATCTCTACTGGGATATGCTGCATGGTGTACATCCACCTTATTACATCTTATTAAAGCACTTGCTTCTGCTGCTGCTGAAGCTCAGTGCAACCTGGGGCTTGGGTGACCTCCACAGATTGTCTCTTCACTTTTCCCGAGACACTCTCCAGTTCCCTGAGAAAAAACTTCTCGTATATTGATCCACAGAAGCAGACAGCAAAGAGACTGCTTAATGATGCCCTTACTTTCTCTGTAGCGGAGTAATCCTCAGCTGACTCCTTAAAGCAACATTATTGTGCAGTTGTAAAAATGGGTCACATAGGGCTCAGAAGTTGTTTCATCTTTTTAAACACACAAATCTCAAAATAAAATAAAGCGGGAACATTCTGACCACATACTGCCTGCTGGAAGAAGACAAAATTATAATGGAAAACTGGAGACTGACTTTTTCAGCAATGGTGCTGACCGGTTGAAGGAAACTAAGACAGTAGAACAGTGCAGAGGGCACTTTTCTGAAGTTCATGAGAAATGTGCAGAAGAGGAAAGGTTGGAGCAAGAAATGCAACTAGCTAGTAGCATCTAAGCACTAAAAGTGTCCCCCACTTTAACTCTCAGTTAGACTTCTCTGGAAATCTGACTACTTAAGGTCAGATTCCATGCTTGGTGAACCAGTGTGAAATCTAGAGGAAACGGAGTTACTCTGCATTTACAATTATGTAACTGGGCAAAATCAAGGCTCATTATGGTGTCTTTAGGGTCCTCACACAGTTAGCAAGTGGGAAAGGTTCCTCTTATCTTCTGATAGGTCATCAAGACAAAATGACTCCAACAGGTGGTACATAGGGATCCTCACACTTACCTCCTTTGCCTTGTTCCTTGGATGTAAATCGGCTCATATGAAAAAGAAGTCAACTTCCACTAAAATGGCAGAACATTAATGCACTCATTTCGCTGACTTGCTAAACATCTTCCAGATGTGTCCACAGGACAAAGTCACAAGATCAAGACAAAGATGAACTGTAGGAACAGGCAAAGGAGGAGGCCACCAGGGGTGGCAGATTAGGAGGGGCTAGCAGAGCAGACGTGGCCCTTTTGACAACTTTGTCGATGTCAGAGCCCTGGGAATTCTGGCAGGTTGCTGCTTTCGGGGGAAGGGTTTAGGTCAGTGACACGGCTGCTGCTTCTGAGAGACGGAGGGGGGGAACTTTCTCTCAGCAGCAACAGTTGTCTTCTCCATCCCTCCCAACCCTCTGGTGTCAGCAGAGTCATACAACTCAATTCTCCAGGACTCTTTCCTCAGATCACTGATCCAATCCTCTCTTCCTCCTGATCCTCAGGCAATTATTACCATGGCAGAAACAGCTTGGCCCTGATTACTTTCCAGCCCCTCAATCTTTAGACAACAGATGGCTCTGGAAGAACTGATGGGTGAAGAATTTTCACGCGCCTTAACAACTGCCTGAATTATGCAGCATTGTCATTAGGACTGGACGGGTGATTTAGATCTGAATATGTGAACCACTTCATCATCCAACGGTCTAAACTGACACTTGGAACTTGGCAACTCCAGGAACAGGGATGTTTGTTGAGATAATGTCAAGTCTTAGTTGTAAAAAACATTACATTTTTAAAAAGCTTATATCCATGGCTGAGAAGTTCCCAAGAATAACCTTCAGGTGTGAATTTCCCTGCAGTCTGGCTAAATACAATGGAAAACTAAAAAAGGTGCAGTTGGGGCACTCTGTATTTGTTTATTAGCATTTGAAGAACTATAAACCATAACTGACCTATCTGTGGACATTTATGTGTTTGCAGGCAAAGTTATAGGTGCAATGGTAAAACAGGGAAAATGCAACCGTGAAACAAAGAAAATAAAACACAAGCTGCTGGAAAGACAAGGATAAATGGAATGGTTAAAAAAAAAAAATGTGGTAACAGGGAAGAATACAACAAAGCTCAAAATTACCACAGGGTGAACATGCTTAAGAAACATCATCCCCAGTCAAGTACTTACAAGTAATAGGAGTAGGAATATGCATTTCTTCTAAAAATCGACAGCCAGTCAGATGAACAAAATGTCCAAAAGGAGAAAAAAATAAAAACATATAATTAGATTTATATGAAATCTAGAAATTTTTTCAATTAAAAAAAGTACTTGTGCTGCCTCTTGTACTGATCTACTAGCCTCCTACACTATTTTCAGGAGCTATATGTCCGTGAGGAATGGATACTGAACTGGAGACATGAAACACATGTTTCTACTTCTGCTACTGACCTGCATCACCATGAATAAATTCTCTCACTAATTTCTTCCTTAACTTTGCCATGTCAGTAACACAGGTAATGTGACTTACCTTTGCCTGTAAAGTGCTTTGAGATTTTTGGAATGAAAAGAAATATGTAAGATCTATTAATATAAATAACAATGAATAGGAAAGTGAGAATTTAAGAACACCACAATTTTGGAATATTGAGACAATGAGAAAATTGTGTAATGATAAATCAAGCTTCATCAAACTCTAAAATGCAAATAGTTCATTAATAATTCAAGCATCACAACATATTTATAGATGATCACTGGGGGTATGCATTAGCTTTCTGCGTCACTGTGATTAAGCATTTTCTATTACAGTTTTTCAACAATACACTTCAGAAATTTTTGATATATTTTTGAGGAGCACCACAATATGAGCCTTGGAAACCAGTTATAACTGAAGAGGTGATGTCTTCCTTTTTATAACTGGAAAAGGCCTTCTCTAAAAAGGCTGTTTCACAACAGATCTAGCACACGTTATTACAGATTAACAGCAAGGCACAAGGGATCCTTAAAAGCAGCAGCCATGGTCAAGACAGGGAAAAACAATGAAACACAAACTTATCATATTGCACAACTTTAAAATCCCATCCTTGAAGGCACTATAAGTGCTAGAAGTATAAATGCAGGGTTTAAATGTGCGCTTTTGTGGTTGCTCTGAACACAACTTTCATAAGCACACATGGAAACCAGACTCAGCGCAGTTCTCTCTGCGCACAATCGCTGCCTTTGCTATGCACACGCTGGGTGAAGGACAGCGACTCACCGGCCTTCAAGAGGATTACTCTGAAATTACATGTTTTGCCTGGTGGTGGCCCTTGCTATAAACCTGAAATTTTGGTCGGCTTTCTCATCTATGCCACACTATTTGAATGACACTGATTCCAAAGTACGCCTGAATGTATTTTTAACATGATGCTATTATCTCCTGAAACCCAGGAATTCTACATGCCATAGCAATGCATCAGCTAATGTGCAGTGATTGACACTGAGCTTTACTGGGGAAATTGCAAGTTCCTCTGAACCTCTAAACAAAGGGAAAAATCACCAGGGTGTGGAAAATGAGAGCCCACACAGCTGAACCCCCTACATCCCCAAAATGTTTCCATTAAACCAACCCCTCTGATAGGCCAGTGCCAGGTTTCACACAGCCCTATCAACTGTAATTATTCTGTTAAACATCTTACTGTACTTTCTGCTTTTCTCATGTCTTGGGCAGCAGACATATGTGATCACATGGGACTCTTAGTTCTCATTAAAAAGCTGTGTATCCCTCAAGGCTGCAGAAGAAAGCTCAGAAAGATTTATTCCATAAGGATAGAAAATAAAGACGGACAAACAAAGGCAGGATTATATTTTGGAATAGGACAGTCCATTTTGGCCCAAATTCTCCCAAAATATGCAACCTAAAATAAGGACTTCCTAAGGAATATTTCAAACCTAACTGTCAAAATTGGTCAGAGTTACGGACCACTAAAAACATGACCAGATCCTAGAAAGTATCACACGATCTGAAAACCCTGCCTGTTGTCCACCTTAAATATGGACACAGAAGGGACATGGGTCACTGAATGTGCAAATATCCCTTTGTTAATTCTATCCTATAGCTTGTGTATCTCCTGCTCAAGAGGCTTTTCAGTTTTATTTAATTAGTTTAAGGTAACAACATAAATCCTAATCCAGAACAAGGAGCTGAATTTTCATTGAAGGAACTAATCCTAGACCCTACATAGCCCCAAATCTCTTTTTTTGCTACCAACAGCAGTTTAAAGAACTTATTTACAGTGCACCCATGACAGGCTGTCTGATCCTATTTATTCAGTCTTATGCTTAAAGGGGTCAGTAGAGGCTTTGTCCGCTCAAACGCATAAGCCTGAAAAGTGTCACGTTCTTCACTCCAGGGAAATGCAAGTCACAATTACACCGGAGTGAAAACTGTCCAGATGAAATCAGAACTGACCAAAATCTAATCCTTTTGGGGGGGCAAAGTCAAAGGGTATTTGCTCCAGAAAAGAAGTTTACAAACGTCTTGTTTTTTCTTGTTTCAGCTTGTTTTTACTAACTGGTCCTGAATTCCCTATTACACACAAATATTTTACTAATATTAAGGACAAACAAACAAGCTCCTTAGAAAATTAGCAATGTTTTGATACAATAAAAATGAGGTATTTCAGGGTATGTATCTTAATGTAAGAAAGAGGTACTGCCTTATGTGGACAAATGCACCCATGTGGGCACTGATTACCTCCTGTAAATTAACAGGCTATATTATGTTGCAGCACATTGTGTACCCATATACATATGATACTAGAGCCGCAAACATGTAACTCATCTAGCTAGTAGGTTCCCAAAACCAAGAAAAAAAATGTTGTTAACGGATTTGATTTTAGATATTGTAAGACAGTCATATGTAAAACAGAAATTTATATATACACACAATTTTTACATCGATATACACATACAGAACCTTTCACAGGGTTTAGGCAAGACCAGGGTTCAACTAAAACCTTCAGATAACAAACATAAAGTCAAACCCAAATTTTCCACTGCATAAACATTCTGGCTGGCTTAATTTAGCTTCACATATCTGATTAAACCCTATAAAACATTGGCAGCCCCCAGAAATTTGCAAGTTGCTACAGTTTTTGCAATATGGTCTATTGAAACTGTAAGTAACTGGGCAACACTTGCTCATGCCTAGCATATGAAAGGTTCAAAAAAGTATGATCTGGTGTGTTTCACAGAAACAAAAGCAGTTTCTGATGATCTGCCTAGTCTTAATCTAAAACCAGTGTTTAGCTTCTCCCAGCATTTCCGTCTCTTCTAATCTCTCTCCTTCCTTTGCTCGTCGTGCTGGTTAACAAAATGCTTCATTCAGGAACTCCACTACTGTGCCTATTATCAATGAACTATGATGCTCTGGACCATGAACAAATGTCACTGTGATATTTTCCAGCTCCATTTGAAGAAAATGCCTCAAGTTTAATTAAATTATTTTTCTGCATTGTTGCCTTTCAAGTCTACACTGAGGCATTAGCCTTAGAGAATTGAAAAGGGGAACTGTTTTTAAAGCAAGGTTAATGCAAAAACTGAATGCAAGAGCTTAAGCTCCTAATGTTACTGTCTGTAAAACAGAAAGATAACTTTGTTGTTAAACTGTTCTCTCACACAAGTGTGAGCTTCAGCTCTGCTCTTCCAGAAGTTCAATCTGTGGTCCAAAGTGGCCTTTCCTTTTATAAAAGCTGGTCCCAATCTGCATTAATTTACAAATGAAACGAGCCTGACAGGCTTCAGTTCATCTTCAGGGAACACTTGTCCATATGCAGCTTCAAGCCTCAACTGGACATGACTGGTGGTGCCCGCTCAAGGGAGAGCCAGGACCAGTGCAAGCAGCAGGTTTGTCAGTGATGCTGGAGGCGTGCTGCACAGACCTAGAGAGAGCAAGCCTCCAAAAACTCCTTCTGCGCTGTTATAGCTTCTAAATGGCAAAAGGTTTTAAAGTTGATGAACCAGTTTATTTCTTATAATAGTGTGTATTTCAGTGAATAACCTTGCAAATGACAGCAAACGGGCAGAGACATACAGACTGCAGTGATTTTGCCTGTTTGCACTGGGAGGGGGGGGCACAGAGGAAAACGTAATTTTCCAACTCTAGGAAGACAAAAGGGTGAATTTGTATTTCTAATACTCCCACTCACCTCTTTTTCTAAATTTAATTTTGAAGATAAAGCAAACTTCTGTCCACGGGACATCACACCCGAATTGACTAAATATTGCTGCTTTTGGGACGGGGCTAGTTCCACAGAAGATGTGCACTGCTCTAGGGGGCCAGCTCAGGTCAGCATTAGCTTGGGAATTTTTATATCAAACAAATGGGTCCTCAGTCTCCAGCTTCTAGAACTTGCTCTGCATTACAAGTATTTCCGAGTCTGGGTTTGTCTGTGTTCCTCTGTCTATGAGATATCAATTTATATTGCAGCAGTCATGACAGCTGGGACCTCAGAACCATCAAATGTTGTTAAAAGCTGGATCTTGATAGATCTCCTCATCATTTACTTACCTGAGTTAAAAATACATCAGACAAAAAAATTTAAGCTAAAATCCATTGATTTTATATACCTGCTAACTAAAGAGTAATACAGACTCTAACTTTCCTCCTGACCTCTAACAAAATTTTGTTATAATATGCAGAAAATACGTAGAGTCCATTTAAAAACAAAGGTAAAAAAAAAAAAAGACAATCAGAATAAACCATAAATTTTCACTTTTTTTGGAAAGATTCCTACATATTGATAAGTTGGCCTTTTGCTGTTTTTTCAGTTTCCAGTGGAAAACAAAAGATTAAACAAAGATGTTGAATCACTGGTATGTATCAAGACATCTCTATATCAATGCATTCATCAGAATGAGAACAATGAAGATTTCTTCCATAGTATTTGGAGAAAAAAAATTATTTGCCCATAATTCTACCTCTGAGAAATTTCTTGTTTTCAAATTTATACAAAAAATAGATTGGCAGCAATCAGAGTGTTTAACAGCTAGAGTCTCACATTTACATTTCAAAAGATGTAGTAGACTGTTTGGGAATATAAGTTTGATGTGAAATCTGAAAATAGGAAAAAATGGCCTTTGGTGAACAAAGTAGTGATACATTCTACTACACATGTAACTAACTGAAAACAAACTGAAAATACTAATTATGAAGCTATGTGGAAATTCTGACTTATGGCATGCAGATAGGGGGTCAGCATTGCTTGTGAAAATCCTGAAAATTAACCTGCAGTCTACTGCAACAAAGATTTGACTTCTGGATTTCCTTTTTGATCAGAATCTATCGTAGACATGTCTCATACAGGAACAATCATCATGCATTTTACTGTCTTCTTTCATTGCCACTGAAGTATTTGTAAGTGTACATACAATGAAAAATTGTCTAATCATCCAAGTTCCTCCCATTTTGTACTTTTAACTCCATATTTGAGAAAATACAGAGATTACAAATACTATATCCTTAATATTTGAACTATATTGTCTCATAACACTATGCTTACCTCTCTGCCTTAGCTGTTGGCAGTCTATACCACAGGAAAACTGTCCTCAAATAAGGAATTCCTGGTCATCATAATAAAGTCACTGTTTGTTTTCTGCCCAGCAATACACATGATTTATAATAACAATAATACATTATGGGACAGAAATGCTATCAACTTTTAATAACTTGTGAAATACACCAGGATGTTCAGATGTGGCATTGCTCTGATAGCTTTCCTTATAAGTTTCATCTTTCAAGCTGAAAATAAAAGTTTTTCTTAAAGCGCTTTTAGGAAGGTAACAGGGATGTATGAGGGCTGTGCATTAAAAGCAAACCAGAAGCCCAGCTAAATTTTTGCTGAAACCCTTTTTCTGTTTTTCACTGGAGGCATCTGATTTTTTTCTGCTTATGAACTGAAAAGCTCCAAGGGGACTGGAATCAGCAACATCTATACTGTTTGGGTTTAACACTGAACAAAAGTGCAGTACATGTGACTACAAATCACATACACATTTGTCCAGAAAATATAGAATTTTTACAAACAACAGAAATTGGATTAAAGATCTAGATTGCCCTCACCTTCAGATAATCCAACAGGAATTCACAGTAGTCAGTACATATGTGATCAGTTCTGCAGAACTACCATCATTTGGAAAGGTTACTCAAAGGACATCTAGTCCAACCTCCTGCTTAAGCCAGTTTCACTTGCAGCAAGTCCCTCAGGGCCTTGTCCAAGTCAAGTTTTTAATTTCTCTAAGGACAGAGATTCTCCACCTCTAAATTATCTTGGTAACACTTCTCTGGACTAGCTTTAATCTATCAGTGCCTTGTACTGAGGATCCCCAAACTGGACACAGTATGCCCAGAGCAATCTCACCAAAGGCAAACAGAAGGGAATAACCACTTGTCTCTACCTGCTGGCTACACACTAGCCACACCACCCCGGACGCAGCTGAACACCTTTGTTGCAAGAGCACAATGCTGACTTGTGTGTGACTTGTCCATCAAGACCTCCAAACCTGCAAACCTCCCTGTACTGTTGCATGGGGTTACCCCATCCCAGATGCAGGACTCTGCCTTTGCCAAACTTCAGGAGGTCTCCGTCAGCCCATTTCTCCAGCCTCTCAAGGTCCTTCTGAACAGCAGCCCTGCACTCCAGCATCTGAAGCACAGAGCTGTTCCATTTGCCTATTTGCTGTGGATTAAGATAGAGGAGACCATATCTAGATTTAACTGATGCTCTTATTTCTGGGAAATGTGTGACTGTTTGTCACAGAGGTAAGCGATCTCACAGGAACAAAGCTTTGCTTGGAAAAGCTGCACTCCCTGCAACAGACCAAGTCAAACCATCAAAGCTCTCACGTGTAATATTACCTGAACCCTAGAGTAGGGACTGCCAGGCTACCTAGATCCTGTTTCATTCAGAATCAAATTACTGTTGAAAACTAGGGTTCACTTCAGAAATGTGACTGGTAAAAATATATAAAAAAAATACATCCTTTTCTCAAGAAAACTTCTCGATTGCATGGTTTTCTGAATCAGTATATTACACTGTAAATATCGAGCTCTTAAAATAGTAGAAACTATAATAGGCTTCTTCAAATTGTAAGTGCAAATGGTCCAAAAAAATCACACAAAATGAACTGTTTGAACACATTTCATTACGATACATGATTTTCCCAAGTTTCATTCCCCTGTAAACTAAAGCTAAGTCAGAAAGATTCTAACCCTCAGCAAGATGTAATATTCCAGCAGAACACTGGTTGCAAAGAAATTGCTGTGTGAAAATACGTCTCATCAAGACTCACTTGGGAACCAGACCCCTGATCACATTATTTTAAGACATTATTTTTCTTGACTGTTAAGAAAGAATTCTTGTCTTCTATTAGACAACTGCTGTGCTACCTGCACAGGCTCACATGCCCATTTCCATTACCTCATTATTGCTTGGTCCTTCTTCTTGAGCTATCCCTTCTCATTAATTATCAATTAATTATCATTAACTCTTTGCAATAACAACTATTCTTTTGTTGCTCATATAGTATCTGCTAGAACAGGCACCTCTTCTGGGAGTACAACTTCTTAGTGGCAGCATTATACAAATAGATATAACCTGCTGCCCTCTGTAACACAAATAGAATGTTTTATCTCTACCAAATTTATTCTTCTTTTTGAAATAGTAACACTATAGCCAGAAGGTCCAAGATGGAAGCAAAGCAGAAACTTACCTTCTCTTGATGGTAAGCATTGCTCCCAAGAGGATGATAACAAACATCAGAAGACCAGCTATAACTCCGGCCATTTTCACCGTGCTGTCTACTTGTTTTTCTGGTTCCACTGCATTGGAATTCTGGGTGGAAGCTCCTTAAAAGATGGAGGAAGATGAAGGAGGAAATAAAAAGAGAATTTGTAGAAAAATCATGCAATGATCCACTTTAAAATAATCATTTGAAAGCTTAACAACATACTTGCAATCAAATTGCAACAGACAAATGTCCATTTAACCAAATCTGCCTTTAATAAGGGCCAATGGCAGATAATTCAGAACAGTAATAGGATGTAAAATCCCAGTGTAATGCAACTGACTAATATTTTACCATACTATACTGTAATAGGGAATTTAGTCTTCTGAAGCACTCGGCATACATCCAGAAGTAGGAGAATTAACAGCAGTTACAGTTTTCATCTCAAATACCTTAAGTGGAGGTGCACTCCCTACTCATTGAAATAATGAATGTGAAAGTTTGCAGTACCATATCCCATAATACTACTTGCAGAAACTTTTTTTCTCCTAAAAGCAGAGCACATTTTTATTTCTTACTGAACTGGAGGCCTTGCTTTTGGAAACATACAGTTACAATTATGCATGTAACAAGCATTAATCCAAAGCACAGAGCACCCTCCATGTTATCTAATGTATTCCATGCAAGAGTTCTTCTGCAGCCCAGGCAAAACAACATAATTTCTATTTGAAATTTTTGGGTTTTTAAGAGAAAAGCCTACACACCTAAAAATAAAACGTATTTAGGAACATTATTTGTACAGCATTTCTTCTTTTACTTTTTTACATAGAGCTCTGTCCAGCTCTGGGGCCCCCAGTATAAGGACACCAACCTGCTCGAGCGGGGCCAGAGGAGGCCATGGAGATGCTGGGGGGGCTGGAGCAGCTCCCCTGGGAGGCCGGGCTGAGAGAGTTGGGGGGGTTCAGCCTGGAGAAGAGAAGGCTCCGGGGAGCCCTTCGAGCGGCCTCCCAGGGCTTAAAGGGGGGACAGGAGAGGTGGGGAGGGACTCTGGGTCAATGGGGGGTAGGGATAGGATGAGGGGAAATGTTTTTAAACTGCCAGAGGGCAGATTTAGATGAGATGTAAGGCAGAAATTCTTCCCTGTGAAGGTGGTGAGGCGCTGGCCCAGGGTGCCCAGAGCAGCTTTGTCTGACCCCTCCCTGGAAGGGTTCAAGGCCAGGTTGGACGGGGCTGGGAGCCCCCTGGGCTGGGGGAAGGGGGCCCTGCCCGGGGCAGGGGGTGGGACTGGGGGGGCTTTAAGGTCCCTGCCAACCCAAACCAATCTATGATTCTATGATGATTCCTTGTCAGGATCTAACTTTAATGGTCTTTTGCACTTGCAGTTAAGTGAGGATTTTGCAGAATGGTACCTGCTCCCCTGTTGCTGGGACTATTTGTATGGTGCTTATTATATACCTTAGCTCTGCTAACTTCACTACTTGCTGCACAGAATTTTTCCAGATATATTTTAAACCACTGAGCTTGATTTAGAAAGCCCCACAAGATCTGAGTTGTGGCTACTCTAAAGACTAAATAAGCCTATCTTTATTATATTCTTAATATACTTTACTACTCCTAAAACTATCACCATTGCATTTGATGAAGTTAAATTAATTCATGTTACATGAGATCACAAACTTATCTTGGGCTGTTCAAGTCAGCCAAGTCTTCCTCTACAGCTTAAACACAGTAGGAAAAAGGAATCAAAGGTGAAAACAGAGTCCTCTCATCAGAAGACTGCAATGTTTTGCTCTTTTAACAACTGTTTCTGACCTTCAGGAAAAGAAGAATCACTGCTGTTCATGAAGTCAATTGCTTGGGAGACAATATTCAGTCAAGTCCATATGTTGGTGAGACAGTAGAAAGCTTCACTGCCTTACTGTTTTGCCCGTTTGCTACATGTTAAACTGCATATGCTTTAAAAGATCTCTGTCTGCAAGGATGAGTCCGAACGGTTACCATGATCAAAACATATAAGTGAGTTTCGGGCTTTCTGATATGTTCTGAATAGGGCCTTAGCTTATGGACTTCCAGGGATGAGGATCTGATCTTGAATAAAGTGTTACATTCTCCTCTCATCATAATTTGAAGACTACATATAGAACAATGACACAATAAATGTACAACAAGAAAATTCACCACATGCAGTGATAAAATTACGATTTCACTTTTCCTACAGCTAAGCTGTTAATCTATTTTGTCACAGAAAAACACAATATTTACCAAGCAAAAATGCTGGCTGTTTGAAACACACATGTAATTTTCAGCTTTTTGTCCCTGACAATTCTACTGCTCTGCTGCATCCATCAATTTTCCTATTCAGTTAAGAGTTCACTGGTAACTTCTGTGCTCGTATGTCTGAAATGCATTAATGGGACTCCTGAGCGTGAAAATAAAATAACGTATCAGTTGTGTATTACCATCTTTATTTGACAACATCTCTTACAATCTTGGAGCAAATCTGACCAAGAGGTGAGCTATATACCATCATACAGGCAATCCCGACACTATCACACAACAAAGTAAATGATAAAGGTACAATTTTTCCCTGAAAATGACTACAACTCTATTTGTTTGAAGTGAAACTCAGAACTACTCCAAATTATCCTTCACTTGAGTTTTAGTTACTCCTATGACCCTAAATAATAGGTGTGGGAGAATGGTTTTCTACCACAAACAGCACAATCAGACCCCTCTCATTTTTGTATGATCTGAATACCCTCATGAATTGTGAGTCACGTCAAAACAAAATAAGGATGTGCTGTCAACAACATCCTCTAATCCCCTGGATTGGTTTGACTTTGCCAGGCTGTTGCTTGTTACTACAGGCAATGTGTGGTCAGTGATATTTTTATTCGATATTTCTCATCCTACTGTAGACTATTGCAGTTCTAGAAAGAGAATAAAGGCTTATTATCCATCCTGACACCTACACACTGTGGTGACTGATTCACTTGAATCTTCTATGTAACTCTTTCTATCTATCTTGGCAAAGGCCAACAATTCCTTTAGGCTACTAGTCCAACCATTTGTATGTTGTCTCCACTAATAGTGCCTAGGAATTGATAATATGACAGTATCAGTAAATTCCTGGGTCTTGGATTCTTAAAGCTTTGCAATGAAACATTACAGCAAAAGTCCCTTGTTTTTCTGACATTCTTGTGTATTTTCCTTGTAGATGCTTAAATCTACTATAGCTGCTTACACTCCCACCTGCACTACCACCAGCTGTAGGTAAGGAGAACATTTCTGTTGTGGCAGAAGGAGGTCTGTGAGCTGTTACTGTACTTGCAGAAGATGACTTCTGCCGCTCCTAAGAGTAACACTTTTTTTAGAATTCAGTTTTGCTTCTCTCCTTTACCAGCATGCAGGCAGATCTTAAATCCTCTTGAGCACAAAAGCCCCTAAAAACTCTTCAGATGGCCATTTCATACAAATGTCTTTAAATACACTTGGAAAGCTCTGCACTACCGTACTTGAGGGGCCACCCCTTTCTTTCTGAAAAACAATGTTTATATACTGTTTACACTAAAAAGGAAAGAAAATAAATGATAACCATATTTTCTAGTGGCTACTTCCACCACATTTCCTGGAATAAATTGCTCCTCGTAACTGAAGCTGGATACTGGAATAATAGAGTATAGAACAGGTCACCATTGTTATTACTGTGTGTATTTCAGTGGGACCCCGAGCCCTGACTAAGGCCAGGACCCCATTACACTGTACTAACATGAAGCAGGACAATTTTCTGCCCTAAGCTTACTTTCTTAATAAGCAAGGCAAATGATAGAGGACAGTGCCAGAGAAGTGAAGACTGTAGGTCCCTTGACTCCCTATCTGTGTATTATCTGCTAGACAGGGCTACTACTGTCAGAGATACACATTCATGTACTGTTCAAAATGCACTTTCCCAGAAGCTGGACCAGTGGCATGAATCTGACTTTCATAGGCATCAGCATTTACCCAGCACTCCGTGTTACATTTGTAACTATTTCATAACCTTTCTCACCAATGTAAATGATTTCGCTTTTTCAATGTCTTTCAAGATCCCCAGAGATCCAGCATCTTGCAGTGAAACAAAACACATTACAGGCAGCACATTCACAGGACATACTGGTCTGGTGATTCTGCAGAGGTGCAAAGAGAGTAGAGCAGGGCCAAATGGGTTCCTTCCCAGAGTTGTCTGCCTCATCAGCCCATGAAAAGTCAGGTTTGTGGATCATCAATCACTGATGGGGTTTTTTTGTAACATACTCACAGGCACACAAGGTCTAATCTGGCTATCCTGCTGTGGATTCATAGATACCTAAATCCCAGACTAGCTCAGTAAGGTGCAGCTACTGGAAGCATAGTTTCATATTGTGCCAGCTCCTTGTGGCTTTCAGTGTTTTAAATTCCTCCTTGCTTCAGATCATGGTTAAAACTGGCCCTGCATGGCTGATAACTTAAGGACAAGAATTTTGAAATCCCAACTTAATTTCAATATATAGGGCTGCCATTTGTACTCCAGAGTTAAATCTTTTAGCAGATTTCTTGAGCTGAAAGTGTTTCTGTCCACAAGGAAGAGATGACACGTTTAGCTACTTTGAGCTGGGAGATGGTTTGCAAGTGATTCCAACAGCCTAAACTCAATTTTTTGCCAGTCATAACTAAAGCAGAAAATCTTCTCAAAACACTAAGAAAGTGAAAAATCATCCACTTATTACCAGGTGTTCATATGTAGCGCTATGCACTCCTAGAGTGATATCCATATGTACTGTAAATCCTGTTAATGCTCACGCAAGGTAAGTAATAGATTATGTTATTTACTTTATAGATCTGGAAGGATTAAGGATATGCCTTTGGCATCACAGGCACCCAGCAGCAGAGCTGGGGACTGACATTTCTGAACTGACACCCGGTGGCAATTCCATCAGACCACGCAACCTCTCACAGATGGGGGACAGAGGGAGAAACAGCAATGGCAGCTAAGTGAAAGATACCATGGCAATCCTTCACCCAGCAATTTATGCACAGATATATTATTTGAAGACAATAAGCCACCAGATATAAAGTGACCTTCTCTGTGGAGGTGGCACAATG